TTGAGTCCATATATACCCGTATCCACAGTAGAAGGCGAGACGTCTTTGACGAAGTGGGTCAGGAGTTGTAGAACGCCGCAAGTTGTGAGAGTGCGGAGCATCAGTAAGCTGGTCCGAGTTCGTCCATCCAGTTGGTATAGCAGCACACACACGATGATACCTGGAATAATTCCAACCACTTCGGTTACTATCATTCCCACATCAATTAATCGAGAAGCGTTTGTTTCAGGTAAGCAGATCCAGAAGCTTTCGGAAATGTCATTAGGAGACATGGCCGTTTGCAGGAGTGAGCGAACTTCTAGCTGAATGAACAAAGGCTTCAAGGAGTCATTTCATTGGTCAACTCAGAGATGGGTGTGTGGCGTCAATTTTTTTGAGAGAGGAAAGAGGATAATAACTTTTGCGCACATACTTCTAATTGTGTTAATTCGCAGTGCCTAGCTATCTTTTGCCAAAAACAACTTTTCTGTATTTTATTTGTCCCGGTGATCAGAAATTTGAGAAGACCTTCAGTTCAAGTAATCCGGTACTTACTCACACATTTCAAAGCCCTTCTCCAAGTCATTCTGGAATCGCCATCGGTAAATTCCAATGGCCAGAATGAATTAAGAGAGGCAACTTTGGCGTTAGGTAAAGATCCAAACAAGAGCCCAACATCTGGGTCGTTTGAGCCAACACCGAGCCACCTTAACGTTCACTTCTCCAAAGCTCGTGTCGTGGGTTGCAATGAAGGGGAGAATGTTTGTATCCAAAGCGAATACTTAGTTTCGCTGTGCTTCCAACTGTTCGCTTAGTGAACAGCACAACCAGAGATCAACACAACCTCGAAATATGTGTACATCTGAGGTAACTTCAAGACCAGACGAAGTCATTTGTCGAGAAGCCACCTGGGAGCCACTCCGACTCGTGGCGTTCATGAGTAGGCCGAAGAGTTCTACAACGAGACGTTGTAATTAAGCAAGTTGGCTGGACTCCTTGAATAGGCTGTGGTTAGGTCGGCACGAGTAAACAAACACTTCAAGTACAGTTCTATTTTGAGTAGACAGCTTGGAGGCTGATGTGAACGGGCTCTCGTGAGACGTGAAGTCGTTTATCGCGTTGACGGCATGCAAGACTGCACATGAAGCTGAAAATTGTGACATCGCGTATTACCAATGAAGGCGAAACACGCATAAAATAACCACACCATCCACTTACCGATTTCTCCCACGCTTATGCACCATTACTCGATTCACACAGAGTTTTGTAAAGACCAGTTGTCATGAAAGCCCATTACACCTATTGAGGGCCCCGATATGTCTCACATCGGAATTTCTTGACTCTACGCGAGTAGTGCGGTGTGATTATGAGGGCAGGAGATGGCTGAAACACAATCGTTTACCACATGCCTCTACCAGCTCGTGTGTGAGTGTGTTTGGTGTTGGTCCGTAGTCAAAGTCGTGTGAGACCATCGGCTTTATTGACCAGCTTGCGTGGCTTTGTAAAAGTACCAATGACTAATTGGCCAGATGAGTGTATCCCGTAGCCGGGGGGGGGGGCACATGCTCATGAATGCGAGAACCGACGTGAAATGTGGGCAGCGAGTCTGCGTATGCGACAGCCGAGATGGTGGACGTGAATCAGCTGGCTTTACTACACATTCATAATACTGCAATTTTTTTCAAGTAGACGTAATAATGAAGAAAATTATCTGGATTTGTCATAGAAATTGTTTAGGTCGCCGCGCAACGTCAAAATCTGACAGAAGAACCTCTACAAATAAATTATATTAAACTTTTCGCAATCTTAGTTATTTTCTTTTGACGGCGTATTGACTTCGCGGTGTTTTATTCTGTTAGCTTCGTAATGCCGGAGGAAACTTGGGTGAAGGAATTAGTAACGAGTCGCCCGTCTCGTGTCCCCGCAGGGTGCAGATTTGGCGCTGCTGTTCTGTCGACAACCTACAACTGTCTCCAGGTTGCCAACATTCGACAAGACAGTGATGTGAGCTTCTCGTGGATACGACTTGTGGTATCAAATTATCTTCTGAATCTCTTCTTCGTTACGGAAATCCTGCGACCACTGAATGCAGACAAGACCATTTTAAGTTGTGCAGGAAACACCACATTCATATCAACGGCGCAAACAGAACGAAAGTAACCAAGCCATAATTAATGTTTATTGTATCAGTGTAAGATAGAAAATGTATGTTTGGCTGCTTATAGCCTCATGTCTACGTAGGTCCTGTAAGGTCCACTGGGGTAAGCATTCGTGTTTTAGACACAGTGGCTTATTATTTCGATACAAACAATCCCGCGGCACGGCTATTTGGTGCAGAGCCTACCTCACAACCATGTGGCGCCGTTTGCATGCGGGCATGTTCCACCCCTCCGGCAGGATTCTCCTTTGTACTGTCATTTTTTGTGCCAACTCATGTGACGATGGTGGTAACGCCCATTTCTTTTTATTCGAGGAACCATTTCGAAACGAATGTTGGCGATACGTTTATTATTTGGGCTTTGGGTACTTAAAATGATCCCCTCAATTTTATTATGGAATTTACAAATATTTGAAAGCACTGATTACACAGTAAATATAGCTTAATTCTTTGTCTCACTTACCTTTTTCCGGGTGTTAACTAAAATCCCTGAACTAATAGTTGAAACCCATTGCTTGGCACATCAAAGGCCCCACAAAATAAGAGAAGACAAGGACTTGTGTGGAATGTTTTACTGAATGAACCGTGAGATCGTGTACAACATGGAGCCAAAGCGGAAGTCGAGGCGGAGGTCGTGTGGATGCTCAGATGTGCCCTCTTATATGTCTCTGGACGATCTGAGATCGATGATTTGAGTGATTAAGACTGAATGATGAGTTGTTGGTGCGAATAACGATGTGGCCTGACCTCAGAGTTGTAATCAAGTGAACACAGAGGAGAGTGAATTGACGTCACAAATCACTGTATTAATTTGCTTGTCATGTGGAATGTTGACATGCCCAACAGTCTCCGGTAGATCCTCTTAGACAAGTGCTTGTCGAATGTCGATGGTCCTTTTACGTCATCGCAGTAAAATTGGCCCAAATGACGACACGCGACAGACTTATTGATGTGGGTTGACTTCAAACAGACTGATGCGAATTTCTAGTGAAAAATAGAAGGTGCTCGTTTTAATTTTAGCCGATGCACTTCACAAAAGCGACGCCAAACCCCTTAAAAGGTCTTTTTAACAAACCAGTGTCTTGGTTGATCTTAGGGGGCTTCGTAAACTGGGTTATGTTCCGATTAGAAGGAGCAGATGCTTCTCAGCCAAGCAGGGCTTTGTGGGAAGAAAATAACGAACGGATTGGGAATTGTTTTGGTCACCTTAAGAAAGAGTAACTGCATTTTTTGGCATGAGTTCTCCATTAGGTAGAAGTCATGACACTCCAGCATAGCTTCGTCAGGTTAGTCTATGAAGGCTCGTTACTGTGTGTTCAGACGTTTCTGCGTCCAAACTTTTTGTCAGCACGAAGTTACTTAAATTTCGACTTTTAGTTTACTTGCAAACAATGTATGCGAATGAAACTCGAGAAAAAGGTATTTTTCAATATTTTTCAGTACCTACTTGCAAAAGATAGTTTCTAAATCAAAACCAAAATAAGTCGAGTCTAGTGTCTTTAGTGTTTATAACCAATTTATGAATCTTTTATTTGTAATAACCAGGAGACTTTTCATCAGCGGATGCCACAAGGTAGTTTTTTTCCATTCAAATTATTCTGCAGAGAACGAAACAATTCAGCGTTGTCATTGTGAAAGTTGATGTCATTTTGATTGAATATAGTTGGGCGTTTTGCTTGGATTGAAGCATTGGGTTAGGTGGGCTGCTCAACGAATACAAATTTACTCCTCCGAAATTTCGCCGGACTTTGAAAGAAATTGCAATCTCCTTCTTACTAAATTGTAATGCACAAGTCTTATTTATTTCTGGCTTCGATTTCACGCAATAAGGGTTCATTTGGTTAACGATCGAGAAATGAAATAACCACAGAAACGCCGTCGAGTTCATTCTACTTTGCCAAAACGTGCGGATTCAATAAACGGAGTTCCGAATTACATTTAGGTTGCTTTAAATTAAGACAATGAATAGAAATTGTCAATTTTTAATGCCTCGGCAATTTCTTCATTGGTAATCAGTGGTCACTAATCACTGCACCATGGATAAGTCAGCACCGATGCTGGATGCTCGTCCAATATGAAATTTATTATTTATATTAAAGTAATTATTTTGAAATAGACTAGGCCAGGACAATGAGCAAAATAAATCCCTGATCATTGTTTTACAATTAGAACACAAACACATAGTTTAAGATCATGGTGATCTGCAGCACATTTAGATAACCCCTAATTTTTAATAAAAAATAGCTCTCTGTTGAGGGTTTCATGTAAAACACCTTTTAGCAAGTCTTTTCTACGAAGATACCTGTAAGCTGGATATGTTGGATTGCATTTGCAATATTTATATTTTAGTTGCTGTTGCGACTTATGGTAGTGGAAATCAAATAACTACCATGTCCTCATTTATTCAAACCTTGATGTGCTAATACAAGATCAGTAAATCCATGGTAAATGTCCGGATAAAAAGACTTTATACAGAGAAAATTCAGTTCATGTTTACTTACTGGGGCACTTGAAGGATTGCATTTCCAGCTCTAAGCTGATTAGTAGTGATAGTGTCCAGGTCAGTATTAAGCGATACAAACTATGTACATTGTGTAAGCAAACCACATACTACAAATTAGACACACAACTAGAATTTTGGCAGGTGCCATGTTTGCATGTTCACAGGTCTAATGGTCAAATCTATTCAGATTTTTTTTTCACTTAGAGTATAGGCAAATCTTTCGAAGTTGTGCGCTGAAGTAACATCCAGAATTCCCAACTTATAAAAATGAATTATAACAAATCGTTCAAACCTTTTACTTCAAAAGCGGCATACATTAAGTAGCTAAGTGTTTTAATTCGCATTTAGGTGTGCCAGACATCAAAATAGACAAAACCACATCTCGGTGATTCTAGAATTCTCAGCGAAACTAAGGACGATTTTCTGTTTGCACTTTCACATAAAACTGCAAATCTGGATTTCTAGAAAGTGTGAGCAACGAAGCCATTTAGAATTTTATTATCTTTAAAAACACTTCTATAATAAAATTTAACCGTTAAGTACAATTTACACTACATTTAGCTGAATACTGAACCATGCTCAACTTCACCACAGGCCATCTTTACCTAATTGGTGATACTTGCGATAAAAACATTTTCAGCCTAGCTTGCCTTTATGTGGTTTATTGGAGTGGTAAAATAAGATAAATTGGCTCCGTGAATGTTGATTTTATTTCAGCAACACTTAAATTAGGCCAAAAGTACTAGGCGTACTTTGATCTAATAATTACGCCAATCATATTAGGGTGTTAAGGCATCATTTATGGTTTGTTCTGTCTGAAACTATGAATGACCGAAGGCAATTAAAATGACATTTACACACACCTTTTACGAACTTCTTAAAACCACTCGTTTACCTTTAGTGTTTTAATTCTTAGCAATCAATATAAGCAGAAATCTTTCAGTTTTAACCTCTCCGAAATCCGGTGGAAGAACCTCCAAATTTTGAAACCCCATTACAGAGACTAAAATAAGTGAGAATGTGATTCTAATAGATGAAAACCCATTAATACTAATTCTTAACAAAAGCAAATAACGGTTCAAGGAAACATATATGCCAAAAAACTTAAATAAGTCATGCTTAGGCATTCCAAAAGTTTCAAAGAATCATGCAATTTGTCTGTTTTTAGTGACCTACAAAAGTGATAACTCACACTCAGGCGAAATCAAGTAAACCTGACATAAATAAGAAGAGCAATTTAATACGGAAAACCTTATGAGCTTTTACGGGACAACTAGGAGCTAAAAAAAACGATCCGAAATGAATTTTCCTTAAAATTGCTTCAGCAGTTTTCCTTATAAAGCAATTTTTTACCTGAGAGCCTTTCTTACCCCCAAAATACCGGAATATATTAATTTCTGATTGATACATTAAGACGGTTACCTAACAGTGTCACTTATCAGATTACAAATTTAAACCATTTATGGTCTGCAACTTGGTTGACCACCCAGGCTAGATGCCAGGAATAGTTTAAGCAAATCGACAGCTACATTGGCAGGATTATTTGAGAAATATCACTTCACCGCCCAGTTATATAAGTAAATAAATCAAATCTGATGAAATTGAAGTAGTGGCCAGACCATTTCCATAGAATACTCATAGTTGTACCATCAATTTATAACTTACCACAAGCTACTTGAAAAAAATTCAAGTGCATGTTTAGCCTCATAATTAGCGCAACGGAGAATTAATTAATTGCATGCCGAAATTTGGAGAGATTAAGCAGTAGAGCTATCTATCAGATTAGGATTAAAACGATTACTGATTTACCTACAGTGACGAGTTAAATTGCGATTACATCAATTCAACTCAAATCTTGATTTTAGTATAAAAGAATAAAGCGGATTTGTCTCGTGAACTTAGGTTGGTATAGTCACACAATTGACATCTAGGGAGATGTTTCAGCAAAAAAGCGCATATGAAGTCGGCGGATATTTTCACCTAAGTAAACGAAACTTGGTCCTTTCATTTTTTTTAATAAATATACATTTTGTCCTGGGTTAAGAAATAAAACTTGATGGGACTTTATCACAAATTTCACTCGGGTATGCAAGGGTCTTCAGATTTTTTTATATTTGCCTAATATTCATAACCAATAAACATAATCCGGCTATTTGCATCTACGCTAAGATCAGGGGCTTTTTGATGCGCCTTGGTTTTTTTACCAGCTTCTGAACTTTAAATTCGGGTAATAATCTGTAAACCTATTTAAATTACTGTTTCAAGTCGTGAATATTGATAAAAGTACTAAAAGATGACACACAAAAAGTTTTATGCCCTTGTGTTCTAATCAGACGGATGTAAATAACTTTAAATTAACACATGCATGCAATTAATTCTTGTAGAAAACAAGTGGTATATTTATGACTAAAGCCGTTTAATTCCTATTCCTACACTTCTGTTGATTAGCACTTATAAGAAATTGCATAGTGCTAACCTAATTCATTGTAGAAACAGCTATAAATAGTAATGTAATCTCTTAAATCTATCTGAATTTGTTTTTAAGGTACAACGAGAGTTGCTGTTTGTTTATATCTATAGAAACGTGGTTATAATTGTGACCTTAGCAGAACACTCATTTTGACTATGTTCGGTATCTGGCCTTCTGTGCATTTAGGCTTATTTCTTGTTGCATTTTGCTCATCACAAGCAGAGCGGATTTCACTGACTGCACTACCGTCTAACTTCCCTCAAAACGGATCCCGATTACAACTTGTCTGCCACTTCCAGGACGAAAAGAAATTCGCAATTGTATGGAAAAAGGATGGCCAAAACGTCGGGGAAGACTGCATAAAGTTTAAAACACTGAATGATACTATATCCTGCAACACCAGTAAAGAAAGTGTTGCATGGACACTGGATCCAGTGACTCACTCAACTGGTGGTAATTGGTCCTGTTCCCACGGGATTCTAGTATCTTCTGTGTATATTTCTGTTAATGGTGAGATATTTTATTACAAGTAATTGATGCTGAATTCTGCCACTGTTGTTTCAATTTTATTTAGCTGGCCTAAACCATTATCACTTTGGTTTTATGTAAAAGGGAACTTGAATACCTAATTCTAAACCCAATCAGTCCCAATGAGTTGCTTATTTTTTAGTTCCTCAAAGGCTTGAGCTTCCAAAGATTGAAACTTACTCAACTGGTGTTCTTCAGTCAACTGCGGCTACCATGTCTGAAACACTCATGGACGTGATGCCCTACCTAGGCTCTGGTACGCGCTCGGATCCTATTAATATGATTGACGGCCGATTTCCTGAGACGAAGTCATTATTTTTCGAATGCGTCTCCGTGTGTGCCTCAGAAACAAAGCCTTTGGTCTGGAGTTTGGCGAACAGTGTACGTATCAATCTTAAAATCTCAATTTTAGTAAACATTGGCAAAAAGTACCCAGTTTTTGATTGAAGCATTTCTGCAAAAATCCCTATTTTTCTTAAGATGCTTTCACTTTTCTTTGTTACCTGAAGATTTTACATTTAAGGACCATGTTTAACATTGTTTTAGTTTTACATAAACAGCGGGACATATACTTGGCTCCCCACTTTATCAAAAATACGAATCGAGTATCATGTGCAAGACCATATTACGCGTCTCATGCATTTTCTAGGTTAAGGCTGCGTTGTACATATTAAGGTCTGCATCTAGCACAAGCTGTCAATATTCCATTGGCTCCTTCTCGGAATTAAAGCACTATAGTTACCATCATGATTGCTAATTAAAAATAATGTTACGGTTTTGTATTAATTCTCAAGTAACCCCACCCACTACTTAATGGAGGCTGTGGAAGAAATTATCTCCATCTTCCTCTTAATTACTTGGAAATATGATTCTTGTGGCAGCCTCAGTCAGATGGCCTTAACTAATACTTGACATACAGCAGCATAATTTGGGGTATGACTGCGCTAATTTAGCTGGCACCAAAATGTTCAAATGGCGATAATTAAGGGCTTTATTCCTGTTTTGGCGACTTTTTAGTTTTAATTTATATAATGGTATTTTCTACCTGCTTTTACATCGTTTTTGAAGGAGTATTTCATTTTGTTTTAGACTATATATAGAAGATACCCTACCTACAAAACAAGAAAAATGGATGATCGGGACTGTCCTACCGGTTTAACTTCGGCGAAAAGTCGAGCATTGCTTACCTGTGCCTACAGCAAAGCTGAGCAGTCGCTTCCAAACAAACTGGAACTCACTCATCCCCTCTCCATTGATCTCAAACTTTCGTTGGTTGGCCTTAACGTAGTCTACTGTTCAACTGACCAACAAAAACGTGTGCACCACGGCTTTAATAATTCGTGTCCCGATGCTTTGCACAATGAAGATTCTACTTCAGTATGTGCCTATGTGCTCTGCGATGGTATGTTGTTCTTTTTTGGGTTCTTTATAAGGCTACCGGACTTGTTTTGATATAGCACTTATAAAAACTCCGAAACGTTTCGTTGTAAGAATGCATTTGTTGACGATTGTCACCATTAACCTCAAATCGAATGTAACATTGCAAGTCCAGGCAACTTTAAACCATGGTTGTTGTGAAACTATCTTTTCTACGTGTACAAAGATCTTGGATCTCATAGGTATTAATGATGCCGAAATTCTACTATTAATGTTAACCAGCCACACATCCGAACTAGTGCCAATGTGCTGCCAACACGTTTCCCTTAGACGATAGGCAGTCATATCCTAGAAAGCCTCCTTAATGCGCTCTTTCGGTAGCACGACTGCAAGAGCCGTGTACGAAACAACTGGTAATAAGGTATCCGAGTCCAAATATTAATGAGTTTCCATTTGCCCATCTGACAAGACCCCACACCTCCATCCAGATAACACTGGTAAACGAGACTTTTGTGGTTTTAGTTGAAGTTCTGGTACGCGTTATTTCAGCTCCCTAACTCTGTACTGGCCGTGCTGAAATAATTTTATCAATGGCCATGAGGCCTTAGATGATTTAACACTACACTGCGAACAATGAGGCACGCACAGATCTATCCAACAGTTTACGCATGAAAGGAAGAACACGGTTTCTTGTTGCTCGTGACGATAAATTCTGCGCAGTTGTCTTCGTTTAAACCGTCCTGGACTATAGCTCATGGTTTTGCTTAATGTCTTTTTGGTGTTACAGTTGGGAGTGCGTGTTTAGCGGTCCACAGGAAAATGATGTTTGCATCAGTTCAAGAAAGTACCACCACAAGCCATAGAGACTTCGTTGAGTCCAACATGTTTGGTGAAGCCTTGCATGACAAATTGATTCATTCTCAGGCTGTCGGCCGCGCGAGTCATGTTCAAACCAGCTGCACGCGTGCATACAAATGCACGCGTCACATGATACTTTTACTCTCTTATTCCACCCTCCCCCCATCACAACTGCACGACTGCAGTTGCGGTGTCCTGGCTACTGCTTCCATGTTGAATGCTCACTGTACGTTATGAAGTAATAACAAACTGTCGTTTTATCGGTACATTCGGGGTCTTAGTTTTAAGGCCAGCGAGTCTGTGCTGAATCACACTCAAAAACTTACGCATTTTCCAAGACGTTTAAAGAAATTTCGAGACACGGCTGTGGCGACGAGAATGCAGGGTAAGGCGAAAGTAAATGAGGAGAACACTGTCTTTTGTATGTTACTGATTAATGCATTTAGTTCTAACTCCAATGAAATCTTTTCCAGGCTGGTGGTGATTATGGGGAACGTATGTAAGCTAAGCGGTAGAAAACTCCAGACGGATGAGCCGGGTGTCGGTAATTCTGTACACGAGGCAAAATAGTCTCCCATTTTTTGCAGGCCCACCTCCGCCACCGCTTACCAATGGAGAGAAGACTGCAATCGGAATCGCCACTTTCCTTTTCATTATAATGGTCATTAATGTCTGCATTTTCACTCTGCGGCGTCGGAAAGCCGAAAAGACAAATCGTGTGACTCATTTCCACGACCCCCTGTACCCCCATCACCCACACGCTGAAGTTGAGTTGATGTTATAGCCCACCTCTATGGTGCGCAGTTTGTGTAAATACGCCCTACAAATAATGATTTTGTTAATTGAAGTATAGGATTGAATTGCCACAGGAGCAATGGATGTGTGGGGAGAATCATTAGCAAATGGTAAACAGGGTTACTCATAATGTGTTTGCAAACGGTGCATTTGTTAATTGTGAGTTGTAGAGCTGGCGATATGCGAGATGGACGTAGATGGCATCCCCTGTGTGGTATGTGAGCTGTTTTTCCAATGCTCGTAACTGACATCATGGCAGAGGTAGCTCGGGAAAGTCCACACGCTGCTGCAGCAGCAGCAGTTTCGACGCTTGGGCTATGTCCGCGTGTTATTGATCAACTATGGTGTAAGGTTTCGCCCCGTGACTGCTTAAATCGCACCTCATACAAGGATACGGGACAAGAATCCTAGAACCTTACAGTTAATCAAGGCACGGGTCAAGCCGTTTAAGTTAACTTTTTATAATATAACGGTAAGCTCTGGTTTTACTTTCCCAGTTTCTGCATTTACTTGGTGTGGAACCTAAGTATCCCCTTTAGAACGAAGCATGAATTTGCCAGACTGCTTCATTGTTAAAGATACTACCTCTCAAGAGCAGTTAACTTAGGATTACTGAGGGAGTTAACGCGGAAATGAGTTGTGTTCTCCGTGTTTGGCCTTTTTAGCCACTTCAAATCGTTGAATCCGTTTTCCCAGCCTCTTTCGAGTGCATTCAGATTAACGACTGCTCAATTTATAGGTCACCCATTTTAAGAGTGTGTACTCTGGTGCTTTCCTGATATTCAGCTCTGATTGGCTATTTTTTCGCAGGCTGCTTCACGCGCTCTTCATACACTGAAAATGTGTTTCAACTTGTTTTATGAAGTAAAATGAGCAGGTTGGTTCATGAGAAAAGCCCCGTGCCAATCACAAATCATGTGAAATACTTAAATTGGACTTCGATTTTGTCTTAGTGAACCTTAGAAATCTGCAACCAGTGATTTGAATTTAGTACTGGATAGTTGGGTTACAAAATTTAGCTTTGGATCTAACCTGATGAGGATACGCATTTCCTTGGTAAGTATGCACACCATGTAGTGTCAACCACATTAATGGTTTTTGGACTCGTGTTTTATAAAATATTCTGAAACCGGAAACTGTATTAAACGAATTTTGAAGGATTAAGTACGCTAATTATTTTAGTCGTCGATCGCCTCGCGATAGTCCCAGGTAGTAGAAGCTTCGCACGCTGTGGGTTGTTGAAAGTCGCACATACGCCGAACGCGCAGCTATGAGCACCACCACACGGCTATAAAGCAACCACCAAATGTAAATTTGTGCTGTGCTGTCGAAGTTGAGAGCGTTTGGCCAAGCTGTCCAGGAAAAAAGAAATCTGCTTCGATACACACAACTTGAGTGCACGAATAGATCATGTTAGCAAACACCGTGCAAAGGCACTCAGGTGGTTTGGCTTGGGAATTGATATTCACACAGAAATGAACAATAAAACCATGGATTGTTTCCAAAACAAACTAAAATGGTGTGCTTACCCTATGGGTAATTTTGGCAATTAATAGTTTCTGCACAAGTAAACGGAATTTGCCAAAAGGTAATGAGGTCGATGAAAAGGATCGGCCCAAGGTTGCTGCCTCGGTGTCGTCACTGGATGAAGCTATTTTATGCACAGTCGAACCATTTTGACAATGTGACCGAAAAAGAGACCTACATATGTGGTCCCAGCCTCAGAAAATGCCTCCTGCTTGTGCACCAGGACACGCATGAACGGATCTTTCGATCTATGAGATCCTACTTGGTAGCCTCATAACTCGAACTGGGATGGAAAGTTTATTTAGGGCAGGGTCTCCTGCATTCAAAGGGGTGACTCACAACAGTCTAGACTAAATATGGTTTAAATTTTTTTGTGGGTCATTGAATCAAACGAGTCCATTTGGTATTTTGTATGCTTTAAGTTCCTCGAAGGCACTTGGACGTGAACGGCTCGCCAGATCTCTTGCTCTCTGCTATCCAACCCCAAAATTACAATAATCATTTATCATATCGCGTTTCTACTGTACCCTTTATCCTATAGCACCTATAAATCATGGCCAAAATGCCGATAGCATTGCAGCCTCGGGACTCAAATATTCGCACCGGTTTCCCCCATGGCTCCTCACGACATTGTTCTGGAGACTTCGTCTACCTTGTCGCTAGGGGAACGGAGTTACTTTGATTTTCACAAGCTGAATACATCTACACATGGGCTTGGTGTAGATATGGCTAAGAGAATGGCTTCATCCTACTTAATCATCCAATGAAAAGGCAGATTGGAACTACCAAGTAATAATTGTACAAATCAGTAGTGGCTGTTTGATCGTCTTCTTTGTACACCTGATGGAAGCCACTTCTGCGAAGTCTAGACATCGCAATTCAATTTGATTCCTTAAAAAAGTCTTTGGATCGTTCTCGGTCTCCAAATGCGTTTGTGGGTATTTAAGAAAGTTCTATTGTAGTGGAAACGACTAGCATCTATGCATTCACAATTTCTGACATTTTTTACTTTGATACATTAGTCCCCATATGCTTGATCACAAGTTTCTTGAATGTTTCCGGTTATAAATGGGTACTTCAATTTCGTACTCCGCATTAACTGAAAAAAAGATGCATTATTCAATCAGAATGCCCGTTATGTGTCCACCGTGACTAACTAAACAGAAACCGTTTTTGTGAATTCAAACCTGGTTCTGAATATTCAGGAGCTTGGCCAATGATTTCTGCGGAACCTTGAGCAGAAATTGTGTAAGCAAGAAGAGAATGGCAAGTATTTCCAATCTTTGATGCAGTCTGGAAGATATTTAACAATTCGCAAGGCGAACGGATCCACTTCAACGCAATAAAATGCCTAAATGTTTTCGCGTCACTATGTGTCGATTCGTTAAAATACACTATTTAACAAACGGCAATGTCAGTAAGCAGAGGTAAATGCATGAGTTTTCAAAGCGCAATCGTGAATTCAAGCCAAGGAATAGTTTACACGTACCAAAAGTAAATATTCAATATATTTTACCATAATTCGGTAATGCATTCAGCTCGGAAAAGGGATGTGAACATGTTGGCATCAATCGGTAATTTGCCATTGGATAAAAAATGAAATTACATCACTATGCCGCTCTTTGCTTGTTCAACTAGATACAAATTAGATTTAGGGAGAAATTTAGGGAGTTAAAATCGTCTTTCATTCAAAATTATGTAAATTTTGCATAGGAGCTTCACAGAGACTAGTCCATTAAATCAGATTTACATGCTTATAAGTTCCCTAGATCAGATTTCTAAATGGAAAGATAGAAGAACTTTAAGGATATATCACCAATTTGAAAAGGGGCATAATCAATAACTTTCGTTGAAACTTTGAGTCCCATGATTGGACATCCACTCCGATTTTCCAAATAATAAAAAAAACGGTGCTAAGCGTTCAATATTGTATACGCGCAATCCACGTTGCAGCTATGTTCGTTCACTCGACTATCTCATTTATTAGTAGTACTTAACAAGAATCAAAATTTAACCAACGGATAAAGCTGGAATACTATGATAGACATTGCATTATTTATCATTTTCCCCAAACCACTTGGTTTTATTCAGTTTTTTTTAAATTGAATTTTGGCAGTTTATTTTCTAGACACTCTTCAAGACACCTTACCAATGAATTTCGATCCAATTATATTGTTTAATATAAATTTTCCAAATAAAATAAGTTTTCAAGCAAAATAGCACATAAATTCATGGTTTAAAATGCGAAATCTGCAAATCATCATATAACGAAAAATGGTCGATCGACGTCCTCGCAATCGAATATACTTCTTCGTCAGAACGTCCGGATTGGCTGAGCTTAATTCTTGAGAACATTTCAGTTTTTTGAGATCTCAAATCCACTTTGAGTTTGTAACCAGGGGATTATGATGGAATATCACAACTAAAGCTTGCTTCTTATTTGCTAAAACCAACGTTATGCTAAAGTAGTTTCGCACAAACCGCAATTCACTTCATTACTTCGTGTGGGCATGTTTTTGTTTGGTGGGTGATGGAAGACTTGACTAGGTGTAATCAGTGTAATGTGTCGACTAATGTTGTTGACGCCAGTGCACCTTGCTTGCACTCTCTACGTGGTTTTGTGCTCAAAATTTAGACTCCTATAATTCTCAGTACCCCAGGCTAAACTTCGTTGGCTTTGACGTGCAAAGTACCGATGGCCTTTTCTTGCGTTCCGCTATGCTTTCGCCACAAGTGATTGGCTTTTTAACAGAGTATTTTTTGCTCACCCCAGGCACCACAGCATTCACTACATGAATTCAACTGACTAGCCACTCCACACGCCCTACAAAATGCATGTCTCAACTTTTGTTATCAAAAGAGTTGTGTTTTATGTACATTTTTGTTATATTAAAAGCATCTCAGAGAAAACTGTCCCACATAAATCAAATATTATTTTCAAAAAAAGAACCGATTCTGACACCATGGATTACTTATTTCTCGAATGCTCAATAAAGTATCTTGAACGTAGAAGTTGAAATAGTTGAAGCTCAAGTAGAATACTGAAGATTAACTAGCTGTGATGAATTATTTCACAAGTCACCATGGTTCACACAAGACTGGTCGCCATATTTATTTTACTCTCCAGGGTTCCCTACGGAATCACCTGACCAATAACCTCAGTTATCCGTCCCTGGTCCTCCACTGAGCCTCAATATTCGTTCTTAATTATTTCAGTGTATTGATGTTACTTGACCACTAGGACGCTCACAGACCATCTATGTAAAACACTGGTTACACTGGCTTCAGCTGTTTACGCTTGCATCCCACACAGTCAGCTTTAGTGACCCAATAAGTGGATGAGCCTCCGCCTCTAGTGGTATTCTCTTATTTTGGTACTCAGTTTCGAGTCGGTCAACAAAAGCAACAATAATTTAGATACCATATCAAAGTCTTCAACAAATATTTCCTCGTGTTAACAGGTTGTATAGCTTTGCCTTTAACCGCTATGTAGTTGTTTGGTTTCGACTTATGGTTTAAATATTTTAGACACCCTGGCATCACCTTTGCTAGATTAATAAGAAGCGTCTTTGCTACTCCTGCAACGGTTAAACATTATTTTTCGTACCAAATCCTCAGACTTTTTGATTTGCGTCTCTCTTCAGTTTTACATTTTGTTTTTCTGCCAATACTTTTCAGACTGTGTGAAAAAAGTGCAAAAATAGCCAGCATCATCACTAATTTCACACTTAGAAAGAAGCCTAAAAGCATCCTCTTAAATCAAAAACTTATGTAAGTACAACTTCAAAATCGAAACAGAATAAAATGGCAGTATAATGCGTATTAATCCACTTGCTTTTTTTGGCTGAATCAGTTAAGGGTACACACAGTAGAATTATTAAATAATTGATAAGCAATTTTAGATGTATTAATACCATTATATATGCTAGGGACTTAAGGATTTTAGCTCTAAATTTATTAAAGAACTTCCTTGAAAAATATGGAGCAAATGGATAACACGAAGTAGCGAACAAACCTATTATTACCTTGTTAGTTATGCAACGCACCTGCAGGGGTCGGACCTAAGAGAAGAGATGGACTACTTGTGAGTCGGCACGAGAGACACAGTCCAGGCAAACACACGGAGAAAAACATAGGACGGAGACGGGAAACTTCTGGAGGAATTCATTCGGGACACGATTACAAGACAAATAAAGAGATGTAGACTAACTGGATGACGGAATTCGGGAGACATGAGATGATCCATAGACTAATTACTGGGCAGGCCTAAAATGGTAAAATATAGGAAGAGGTTACCGGGCTTAAATAGAGTTCGATGGCGCTGAGTGTTGCGTGCTTGACAGTTGCAATAACCAAATTTCGTGGAATGATATGTTCAAATATAGCAAATTTTTACAAGGGTATTAACCCATTGCTATGTTAATTAAATTACGGTGATAGTTTTGATCCAAACGTAACTTAAAAACGAATGCTTTAAATTTTTGTACGATTTATTTATTTTACGCTGGTTATTTGCATTGCCGATAAAAATATTAATTATTCCCAACTTTGTTTAGTTCCAATATGAAATATTCTTGTACGTGAGGCTTTTCGCGTTGAAAATGATCACAAAGAAATGTGAACTTTTATATATTTGTGGAACGGCAGAAATACTTCCCATGGCTGTTACACCAGCGGCTAGCATAACATTAAATCTGTTAGACAAGAATATAAAACAGCCACGAGCTAACAGAACAATAAAATTAAAAAGACTGTTGGCTTGAGTACTATAAATCTTCTCCTGATATCATCTAGGAAAATAAGGGTCACGTAAACGAGTTTTCGTAATTTCGGTAATATGAAAATAAATAGTAATTATCTAGCTTAACGTTGAGCGGATACCATTTGGTAAATCATCACTTGCCAAGAGGGACCGCCAATATATTAGTCAAGGGTTTTAACGAGTGACTTTAAATTAACTATGAAACAAAACGTCAATAGTAACGTATTAGAAAATACGAAGATCAATTTTACAAACGCATTCACTTTGCACATGAAAATAAATATTGCAAGTTCAGCACACTGAAAACCAAATTCACTTAAATGGCAATTTCTTGTATAGTTGGGTAGCTTGGGGTTCATTTGAAATTTTCTAGTAATAAATCGAGGAAACCCTGATATTCTGCTTGAAATTTTGTTGGGGTACTCAGAGGCTTGACATGCTTCATTTTATCTTTAGAAAGTTCAAGGGAACTGCTTTTGTTTATTGAATATTTCAAATGAAACTACCTTGTCGCGGCTAAGCGTACTAAGATCTTATGCAAAGTATTTGTAATCGATGAATTTATTTTACAATAAGCGCAATGCCATATAACTAGGTTTATCTAAATAAAAGTAATTTTTTTATTTTTTCATTATTTGTTAAATCGCTTTTGTAGAGAAATGAATTCAAAATATGCCATGTTAGATAAAACTGTGGTGATTCAACAAAATTCTTCGGCTCGGCTTTAAATTGATAAATTTGTGGTCGCCAAGGTCAAACACTTCATTTACAAGCACCATTTGATGCCACAAAATGGTTAGGAGCTTTTACCGTCACCGGACTTCTTGTAAATTCAATTACGTCAATCGGTGGATAAAGTACCTGTTGTGTATCACAAATTTCTTTTTCATGGTGAGCACGTTTGCCAATCTAAAATACTGTAGATGGCTGGGGGAATGCTTTTCATTCTTGGGGTCATTGCATTTGCTGAATCTGCTATCATTACCCAGAAGTCTACGATTAGTCTCCTACAATGGTTGTTTAATCTCACTGTGATTGTTATTGGTGTCGGTTTTATCACAATGTGTGTTGCATTTACTGGATTCACAGGCTCCTTGCGAGAAAACCAATGTCTGCTAAAATTCGTACTATTCAATTATTTACTCGTTCAATTTAGTATTACATATCACTAGCTCTGCTCTTTGTTTTTGAAACGATTATTGGGATTTTCTTCTTTGTGTATCGTGAAACAGCCATAAATCGTGCGGAAGAACTTGTGAAGAAAACGTTTATTTCCCAATACCGAGAAATTGGTTTTGAGGATTCAACAAGTTTTGTGGATTTTATACAAGTTGAGGTAAGATTGATTTATCAAAGCATAATGTGTTTCGATGAAACCAAGATTGTGCAACCAGAGTTCTTAATGGTGTCAAGTTAAACTCATGATTTCAATTTGCCTGATACACAAGTGGTGAGTATTAGTTTTCGGAAATTATACTTAACTCGGTAATTTTTATGCCTCATTTTCTGTAATTAATTAATATAGAATCAGGTACATGAATGGTAGAAACATGTAAAATGCCAACTGTGATTGTGTCGTTAGTATATGGAGGCGAATCTCTGTAATGCATTTATCCTTGCTACTGTTGTTACAGAAATTTTGTTGTTCAGCAAAACCTGAGGGAATATTGACCCTCTGCATTACTACTCTGCAAATACAATATTCTGGCTAGGCATATGTGAGCGCTGATTCAAAGAAGTTTCAGGGAGTGTTTTCACTACCTGTTTGCGCCAAGACACTTCATGTCTTATGTGTACTCAGTAAATCGCGTCTGTTACCTATTTCCTTTTAAACCTGTGTGGAATCTCCGTGTGTTAAATCTACAAATTGTGCTTTCTACCACGTAACATGTAGTACTTGAAACTATTGCTTAATTTCGCATTTATAATTGTTTTAATGTATTAATATGTCATAGGTACATAAGGTTTGATCGAAAAGGATTTCTCCTAGTCCTTTTGTGACTATTTTCATGAATTTTACCTCTGTCTATAACTTATTTTTCCATCGAATAAATCTATTAGCTTCTCAAATGCATCGGCCGTTTTTCTAAATTGTTTGAAATCCTCAGTATTCAGGTTTATGGAACACGTAAAAAAGGAAAAAATTTGTATGTTTTTTTTAAATTTTTTTACAGCTCCAATGTTGTGGACCAAAAAGCTACATGGATTGGACAGAAAATCGATACTTCTCCTGTAATGCTACGAATATCAGCTCTGAAGCCTGTGGGGTGCCGTTTTCTTGTTGCAGACGGATGAATAACATTAACGTAGGTCTTGAAATATTTTGTGCGCATTCTGCAAGGACTTTCTGTTGGCCATTCTAATTGGGTGGCATTCTATTTTTTGTTTACTGAATACGAGATCCTTCTTGATGAGTAATGTCAATTTAGTTGCTTTCGTTTTGTTCCTCCCAGCTGAAAACAAAGGCCGATTTATACTTAATTTACGTCCTCCGTGATACTGTCGAAACTTCGTCTTGTTAAATGCTCAAGTATTGCTCTTTGGGACAGGCAACCCCCTATTATGGTGAAAAGTGAAGATCATCGGCTTGATTTACCTTACGTTTACACTAACAGGGCCTTGGTAACTTAACCTGAATCATTGTCACCAGTGCAAGGTACATTTCCTTATGTAAACTTCAAGACTCGTGACCGTTTGATTGCGTCCACCACACCTTTCATTACTATAGTGACCGAAAGCGATATTAGCGAATATCTGTCCTGGGCTTTTTGGTTTCACAAAATTCATTCACACAAACGTTTTCTCTAAATTTTGATCAAACTCGGATAACTCAAAAAGATTTCAATCTTCTAGTCCCTTAGCGCGTTTTTTTTTCAAATAGATGTCATATGAATTAATTTTTTTGTATATAACTTTACCTAACCACAACCGTACGGACCTTTTTCCAGGAAAATGTGATCAATACATCGTGTGGACTGGGTGTGCAGAATTTATCACCTCCGCTCGCTGCTCCCGTTGTCTGGACGGTGGGATGTGTTCAGGCCTTGGTCTCACTCCTGGAAGCCAATGTTGTCCCGGTGTCTTGCGCTGTTTCTGGCATTGCGGTTCTCCAGGTATCTTTTCTATTCTCGTAACGGCACCAACTGTGTTTGGCGTTGAGTGAATGCTACGGTGATTCTTCCTGGTAGCGCAGTGTGTTGGCCAGTAATACGCTCAATTTTGCTCATTAACATGACCCAGGGGATAAGTGATTTTATTTTAAGGTAATGCTCAGCGACGGCCGTTGCTGGCATCCATAAGCGTTGTTTCATTTTTTACCTGTGTGTCAGCTGATATTTAGCCTGCGCTTCTCAGTCATTTTTGAGTTGGTTTCTGCCCACCTTCGTCCTTTCGGAGCTTATGACATGAAATCATGCCTGGGACAGCTTTGCTTTCCTTTTTTGGACAAATGCTGCTGTACCTGAGGGTACAGACTAACTAAACCACTTGCCTCTTCTGACTTTTGTTGTTTCTTTTCGTTTTCGTGTAATCCAAAGGCATTAATGTATTTTGGGATTTCATATTTGGCATGTCTTAATGACAGTTGGGGGACTACTGGAAGAAATCGATAAGTTCCACGCGTATGAATAAGACTTGCGTGTTTCAATATACACAATCGGTTTTACAGTGCTTACAGAGTTTCCTCAACTGCTTTGGAGACAATTGAGACACCAAATCGGCCCCGTTATATGTAATTCAAGTTGGTGGCTTCGGTAGCATTGGTTGCTCGAACTATGACCTCGAAATTCATAGCAAATCGTCAAAGTTTTAAAGGGAAAGCTGCACGTTTAGCTCCTAATCTAAGGTTTTAACAAGCGGCCGCGCATCTGCTCGGCTGTATTATGACTGAAAGTTGTACAAGACTGCAAGTTCAGTCTCCGTTGTAATGCATAGTCCAAGCCATAAGTTTCGTTTTATAATAATCTGTTACTAATGCACGTCTTTACTTTTTAGCTCTTGGCAATTCTGCTGGCAAAAGCACTCTACACTCAGATAGGCGACCAATTACGACTTCTTCAACACGAAGGCATCGTGTGTTGATCGTAGCTACCTGACCACCTGGGATCGAGATCCTCTAGTCTTATCCTTACTTCAGTTGTGCTTTACTAATCACAACCTATGTAAATTAATACAGTCACGTTTTGATTACATTAGTTTGTTCTTGTGCACCATATTCGTTGGTTTCACAATTTGTCTTACGCACCATGTTGCTTGTGTTTCACGCGTGCAGTTGACGTAGGAGCACTGGGACAGAACTGAGTCACTTTTTGTTCTCATCAGACAAGTCTGTGTTTCTCTGTTTACTTAACCGCAGGGAGTTCGCATGTTAATTGTGCGGACGTCTTTAAGAGTTACTGAGCCACTGTCATGGCAACTATTCGTTGGTGTATAGAATGCACATAGGCTTTTCCTAAACGACCTGGCATGCTTGTTGTGCTTTTCGGCTTTTGCGATTTGAGAACATGATGAGTTAATCTAGTAAATGTGTCGTACCTTCAGTCTACTATAGCTTCTACTCAAACAGCACCCCTGTTAATGAGAGCATGGATGCGCATATTGCAATAGAGCTAAGTTTTTGTGCTCCATCCCTTAACTACTATAATTACGTTGCTTGCAGGGATGGGTTCCTTACTCAAAACTAAGTTACATTTAGGCTATTCGATTTTTCTTTTAAGTGTGTATACAAAACATCCGTGAAAACAAAGCCTCATTCGCGTCGGTTATCTCATACTGGCATCAGCATACGTGTTACCACAGTTGCTTCTCCTCAGTTAGTCCAGGCCGTGTTCTTCAACCTCGTCGCTAATTCAAGGCGATTTACTGGCTTCGGTCGTTGATGTTTACACTGAAAAAAAACATCAAAGTAGTCGTCTTCGTAAATACTGGGAGGCACGTCACAAATCAGTTCACCAATTTGTACAAATGCCCGTTTTTTTTCTACAAACCTGCTTTGTGGTACCTGGGACATGCCACCCAGTAAAATAAGCTAACCTACCGTTGTGCATGTGAAAGTTGCACGAATCGGGGCTTGGAGTAAAATGTAGTAGTTGAACGTAATACCTGGATCCGATACTTCTGCTAAAGCACTTTTTTTGTGTACATCTCATGACAGAAGCAACTATAATCAAACTGTAATCTCTCTCCGAATTTGAGCATAGTCTACACACATAGTATGTAATATAATTTTAATTATTGCAACGTGGAAAGGATGAGCATGACTATGGTTTTTACGGCTTGGTCTGTTGGTACTTTCTTTGACTCGACAACGGTTAGAATGAAAATTAATTATTAATTTACAGCACTGAGTTTCCATGCCAACTTTTTGAGGAAGATTTTATTGTGTCTTAGACGTAAGTACTTGAAACATCGTACCATCTTTTGTTGAACTTAGCCATCGTGTTAGTCGTTCAAATCCCTATCAATGAATACTTTCGGTAGTAGATATTGATCGTGAAGCAAGAATCGCAAATTCATACGGGACACTTATGGATTCATGACACGTTATAACGGGATGTGGTGAACCACGTCACGACGAACTTACGCTTAGAAATGAAGTTACCGAACATTACATTACGGGACAAAAAAAGGGACGGAACTTAGTTTAAAGCATCGTCTAACACATTGTGCATACTTCCTGATTGCTTGTCTTCATTTTGTCCTAGCTTCCTCATTGGAATGCCATTGTTTAGCAAGAAATTTAGTGTCCCCAAGTTGCCTTCTCGCAAGGCCTCCAGCATGACAAATCTGAGCCAGCTCGACGCCAACGTGCACAGCAATGAGTTCGGTCTCGACTACGGGGTCGTCAAGGCGCGACTAAGCGGACGAAATCTCATCTTCAAGGACGGGAGGTGGCGGGTCGGTGAGTTTATCTCTATCTCCAAAAAAACACGCTTCTAACAGTGCTTCTGGGTAGTTGCGTGCTTCCTACCGGCACCTTGATAATCATTCACTATTAATACGCACTACACCTCATTCGGAACAGCTAATATATTTGCTTATACGCATATTCGATAAGGATTGTTAATTTGTAATGAATCAATATCGCTTATTTAAGGATTTCACCGAAACAGTTCACATTACAGGCATTCTTGTCAAACCATAAATTTCCAAATTCATTTAACATTCAATGATCATAAAGCAACGTATGTAAAGGATTTGTAGTCGACTGCACTTTCTCCGGTAATCAAGGACTTGGTGGGAAACAAAGTTCGGGGAATGGTAAAAACAACGCATTTTAACAAAAATAACGTGGTTTATAATATGCAATGAATGATGGTACATTTTATTGAAAAAACACTTGAGCTCATTAAACGGTCCATTTTGCACAGGCGTTGGAGTAGTAAATATTCTTTTCTACTCATCATAATCGTCTTCACCGTAGAAGGCCGGAGTTTTTGTTCCAAATAATTTATTCGATTAACCGATTCTTGCTGTGCTTCTGAATTGTCTTGTGCGGTATTTGCGCCTTCTGAATATGGACCTTAAAACTTTTCCGCCAGAATTTAGTAAATGTGACGCTAAATAAACAGACTAGGGATTATATCGGTTTCTTTGGTACTACCTTACAAACCTGGTATTTGGCAGTCCGTAACAGCCCGAGAAGAAAGGCAAGATAAATGATAGTGAATATAAATATTTATTTACATTTAGCCACCCAAGTCTCTTATAGCAGAGTGCTTGAATGAATATCGAACGTAATCGAAAATCGATGATATTTGATCAACTTGTGAATACTTCAGGATTCTGTATTAAAGGTTACAGATTTTTAATTATAAACCGGGCACAATTTCTCTCTGGAACTTTCTGATTATCTTTGTTTTCGGGATATCGTTCACTGCAGCCACTTATCTGTGGTTGCGGCACTGTTAAAGTCCAAAGATGGCCATGTTGATCACCAAAATCCACTTATAAGCAAATTCTAAATTCTGGAATCGAGAGAGTACGGCAAAGCATTATTTCATCCACCTTTTTCGTGCATTTAGTGCACAATATAAATCATGTGGTCATCACGTCAATCTGTATGACCTGGCCACTGAGCTCAAAGACAATCGCCATCCATTTACTTCTGTCTGTGCTCACGAAATTTCCACCATTATAACGAGTCAGTATTGCATAACATTTCGATAGTCCCAGTCAGAACTTTGAGGTCAAGCCGGAATGCCTTCATTTCAAACACACAACTTAATTCAAAATGCTCGATAATGTGATTAATTTAACCATCAGTCACGGAACTTTGTCCGTATTGCTAGAACCCATAAATCTAAGATGATAAAAGCTTTTTGACTGTCAATAATGCAACCACAATAGCCGGAATTTTAGAGGCATTCTCAATGTTCAAATGTTAGCACAAATATGTTGGCACATGAACCATTTTCAATGGCATGGGTATGGTAGAGGCAGTCAGATACATGGCGCGTTTCGACGTCAGCCACAGGGCCCATTTTGTGTTGTGAGGCAGGCTATGTCCTCTGCCATCGGTTCGGATTACTGTGATCCGTTCATAGCACCCAATGAATAGACTTGGAAACCCTGATAACCCACGCCTGCTCTGATTCTTTACGGAGGAGAACAATTGTAATTTATGGTGGAAATTAAGTGGAATGGATGGTGTTTTTCTACCTTCTTTGTGGACCCCTTAGGCACGCATTTCCATTCGTGGTGCTTTTGCTTGTGAGAGTGCTGGAAAGCGTCTGTTCACGGTTACTCAAGCCAATCGTCAAAGTTGCAAGAGCTTTCAATAGTTAGTTACCTTTTAATTTCACGTTTGTTTGTTTTTAAAGAGGACGACCGGAGCGACAGCGGTGATAATCATGTCAGCAAGGAGGCGGGCCATTTGAAAAGCCAAAACAGGAAACTCTATGAAGAAAACAATCTCCTCAAGATCAAAGTTGACATCCTTCTTGATATGGTAACTCTCTGCCGCCTTAAAAGCCTCAACAACTTGTTTTGCCTTATCTGATTTTTGATGAGTTTCGGATGAAAATACGTTCTTGGTCACTTCTATAGTTTAAAATGATTACAGGTGAAATAAAAAGTATGAACATCTCACCTTGTTTGTACTACCCCAAGGTCATATAACTCCATTTCTCAAAATTTAATCCCAATTTACTGAAATATCCTGCAGGGTTTATTTCAAGGTGTGAATGCTTTACATTTGAGGTTCCATCGACCGATGACATTATGTGACAAATACGGCACTTCACCACTACGATTGGCATTTCACTGACGCTCACCAAGAATTACTGACAACATTACAGGCTTCAAGTCTATTCGCTTTGAATTTGCATTTATTTCATTATAGCGCATCCAACGCATACAACTGTGGATAAAAGAGATGAAAGCAAAAAAAATTAATAAAATATTACAGAGATGCAAAGTCTGTGTTTAAGTATTAGAAGATTTTCAAACTGTACTGAGTGCGTGATATTTCATTTTAATCGATCTTTTTGCTTTGGCTTTCAATGTGTACTTTATGCTCATTCGATGTAATAAGTGGTTAGAATGGCATCATTTCTGCAGCACAACTTTGCAAGTGGTTGATATGTGTCCATGACCATGCCACTTTCCGGGCTAAAGTGTGCACCTCTGTAAGACTTAACTTTGACCCCATGTCGGTCTTGACGGTAGTGTGTTTGGGTTCAGCTCTCGCTAGCAGAAAGCATTCTCTGATGCTAAGCGACAGTTCATCTTCCTCTGGTCGATGCGCAGCACCGGCTGTCTCAGGGCTGAACGACCGGTGGCCCCTTAATTGCACCTACCAAGTCGCTAACCTAGGCCAGACACCTTCATTGTTGCTATGGCCTGCTATCTTACATGTCCCGCACCGGAGTTTCTTTAGTCGCCCATCTCCCACTTGCCATTTCAGCTTGCAGAAACAACAGCAGAAGTTCAGTTGCAAGAAAGTGAAATCGAGAGCCTCCGAGGCATGATTCACCGCAAGCCCACTTCGACGCTTTCCCAGCCAGCAATCTCGGCCCCGCGCGCACTGTCGTGAATTTATTCACCTCTCGGTAACCCCCGCTATCCACCCATGTCTACGCTGCAGCCGTGTTGTTAAGCTAAGCATTCTCTTGCACCTACCTGTAGTGGAATTACTTCGTACTACTATAGACACTTAATATGTGGTCTGGTTGCGTTGCAATTGTGTTTGATACCATGTAATGAAGTTATTTTAATTTGGTTTCCCCAGAATGTTTAAATGTTGCTATCAACTAGGTAGCAACAATAAACCACTTCATTCGAATTAAATACTTGGTTTTGTGGCTCTTTATTCCAGTGGGGTTCGTCATCTTCGACGTTAGAGATTTTGGTACAATTTTACAAACGGGGACCTTGACTGGCTCTAAAAAACCGACATTGTAAAAAAATAATCTGATAGAAACAATAGCTGAGGTATTCGTAAGGCCGGTGAATAAAGACAAAAACCAAGTATGTTAAAATACCAATCTTTGATTGAATCTCAATGTTACATTGGATATAATTTCTCATTTGGTGACAAGGCATTTGTCCAAGATTGAAATCTTGATGAGTCAGTGGTCTAACATGACTAGATAATGCAGAACGCCATTGTATTCGTCTTTTAGTATATTTATTTAATTATCGTGAGGTTTCAAGTGTGCCGATTCCCAGTCTGCGTTACGTTTGCCCGTAACAAAGAGAAAACCACTCAAATAGCGGTGCCAGACCCCTTTTTGGCGCTTCCCACGCTGATACAAGAGCAAGACCAGAAGTCGTGTTGAAGAGCTTTAATCACGTCAGCCACGTGCGAGTCACTTGTTAAAGTGTACACTAATTCAAGTCAAGTTTGACCTTGACCTGATAAAAAGCGTAATAAAACACATTTTAGTGAATTAGTGTAAATAGTGGAATCTTGGAGTATCGTGAATCTCCAACAGGCCATTTGACTTTTCAGGCTGAAATAGCACAAAGTCCGCTCTTGTCCCAAAGAGCGTTTGTCGCTCTCTGTATAACCATAAATTGACTAACAACCAAAGGTTCCTTTGCATGCCAGTAGTGCTGAAACCTAGCTGACTCCCATCACCAAGCAATATTTACTTCCAAATCTGTTTATGATTGTGTTCCCAACGGTGCATGTCTTGTCTTTCTGCAATCTATGTGTCCCACCTAGCAATGTTTAACTTGATTCGGAATTTTAGGCCCATACTAGGACATGAAATAACCCTAATTAGTTGTGTAAAATGCCACAAAAAACCCAAGACTATACAGAAAATGAATTAGTGTGTCGGGGCGCAATATACCACTAACTACCCAACAAAGATGAAGTCTGCTGAAGGACAGGGAGTCAATCGTTTATTCAAGGACTTGAAGTGGTTGTCGTCGTGTGTGTGTGTAATGTACACGATAGCAAGTCAGTTCATGTAGGATCGGCTGCACACCGATCCCTGAATGAACACAGTTACGTGAAGTGCATTCACGCAAACCAATTGAATTACGTTAGCTCACGATTGGTGTGTTCGCTTGCTGTTTGCCACAGCTCTCCTCCTTGGTAAGAGGACTTGGCGGACCTTTTCTTCCAACAGAAATTTCGAAAGGCAGGCCGACACTTTTGTGCGGTCGTGATGTCTCTGTCGAGGATGATCGTGGCGGGAATCCTTGCAACCTGAAACGGGCACCACGCGCGATTGACGATATCCTAGCTCTCCTTTGGTTGCCTGCCCCTCAAGCTATGTATCAACCGGGCCAATGAATGAGCGTGTAGTGGTAACCACCTTTTTACCGTTGAATGAGACAGGAGTTGGCTGCGCCTGGGACTTGTTGCCTGTCGACGTCTCCATGTCAAGGAGAGCTGGCTTGAGTCGGTCGACAGGTACGGCGTCTTCTTTCCCATTGCGGTCGACAATAAAAACATATTTTCTCGTCCGAGCACTCTGAAAGGTCCCTCGTAGATGGGTTGAAGTGGTTGACGAATGGCATCGCGTCCGATGAAAACATGAGTGCACGTGGACAACTCTTTCGGGGTGAATGAAATAGTGGACTGCGAGCGCGGTTGGGTAGCTTCCAGTTCGTTCATTGTCTCCCGTAATAGCTCAACGTAGTTGCTTGTGTCTGGCCGTGCTGGTCGAGAAATCGCCACTGGCTGCTGAAAAATCTACACTGCTAGGTTGACATGTTTATTTCGACTCAAGAAAGCTTGAGCTTGGTATCTAGTTGTGAAAGGCAAAACTTGCGCGAGTGGACTAAGCCAACTTGGAAATCGATAGAGTTTTGACTGCAGCTTGAATGTCTCATGATGTAAATGATCTTGCCATGATTGAGGTGAGGGAGTTATAAGATTCTCTAGATTCGCTTATGCGAACCTGTGATCTCATTCCTCGAAATCCACTTTTTTCTACTGATACGCAATAGTAGGAAAGTTAGGTAAAATTTTCTATATGTCAGGGAGCTGTAATTCAGAAGCTTCGAGATCATAATTGCCTCTAATCTAAAGAGCAAACATCGTTTAAGTAATGCGCCCACATTGAAATTAATGGCTCAAGTAAGCTTATTCAGCTGCACTTACAATTTCGCTCCATTGCTTTTTCACATCCATCCCTTAATATCTCCTTACAATAAATGGTACTTAATTGATGTAAGTAACATGATTTATTTATTATATATGTCCTTTGGCTAGAGTGACTTGTTGCATCGGAAAACGGAATAAGTATAAACTACCTTGGGGAAAAATTGCTACCAAACGTAAATAAGTAAATGTTATTAACACTATGAAGGTTCATGTGCGTCTGAATACCGCTCAACATTGTTGAGGAGACACGCCTCTCTCAAATCTCGTAACCACTTAGAAGATGGGAATTTGATGTGTAGCCCCCAACGATGTGTAGACGGTACTCCACTTGATATCCCGCCAATAGAAGTCTCCAAAAAAGCCTTCTTTTCTGACTCTGAAGTTGACTCTTTAACATTGATATCCCGATGAAAATTTAAAATGACTTGATTATATGCTCTTGATTTAAAATATGTGCACCAGAAAACCGGATTATTAAATGTACCCGAACATATTTGGAGATTAAACTCTATTTCTAATATACTACTGATAATCCCTGAACGTTTTTCCTTCAGCCATAATAAACACATTTAAAATGGCGATTATGAAGCTATTGTCCCTCAGCATGTAATGTTTTATTAATATTTTAAAATTGTTTGTACACCTCAATTAAATTGGTTTACCTGTTCACAGAAACATTAAAATTATTAATTTTTTGAGAAAATTGGATATAATTTAATGAGTGAAGTCGGTCTTTTATGCATGCCTGATTTTAGAATTAACTAAACCAATCTTTAGGCGATGGAAGATTAGTTTGCAGTAAAATTGTCTACCATTGTTGACTGGTCATTTTCAGGCTTATACTACGTGATATTATCTCTGGACGCCAAGAACAACAAACAATGTTCTTTCAGAGGCTTTGAGGAAAATGTAGGTTAATGCAAAAATGCCGAAGCTCTGATGTTTCTCAAGGTTTTGTCTGCAACGCCATCAGGTTAGTGGGCGCACACTTTGTCGGAAAATAAACACCCTGGCCACCAGACGCTTGCGCATGTTGAGTCCAACCAGAGAGTCCAACCAGAGAGTCGCTGGTGTGCAAGCAAACTACAATTTTGGGCATGTCTAAGCGTCTGATCAACAACCTGTAGTTACGGCAAAGTGAGTTTTGCGCGCACATTTCGAGTTGCTTTACACGCGTCACTCCTGTCTAAACTCGCGGTGTCAAAACGCAGACCACTTAATCTTCCGTGGTAGTTTTAAGGCGTTTGAAAATTCTGGAAGCGTTCAGTAGCCGAAAAACGGTAATGGGGACGACTTAAAACGAGCAAAGTTTTCAGGTAATTTGCCCAAAAATAAAGCAGGCAGGTCGACGCCTGCGGGGTATCTATCTACGAACAGCATCCGGAACACGCAATTACATTTGGGCGCAGAATGAACTAAAAGAACGCTTTGCGATGAGGCATTGAGAAAATGAAGCGAAGGCAACCATTTTTCAACTTTTGGCTGTCTGGAATTATGAAAAAGCCTGTGTGTGTGAGTGTGAATTGAGTGTGTGGCTGTATTAAAGCGAAGTAGAGGAAAGCAAAGGTTCAGGGAGATGCTCCAACAAATGAATGTTTAGCAGGGTGCCAAAAGTGTGGGTACAACAGCGGGTTATGGGTGAAAAGCGGTGGTAGATGATCGAGGTAGCGCTCCCTTCTGACAAAAGGACGGTGTGCGGGGGTGGGTGTCGTAGCGGTGGGATGATGGGCCTGGGCGCCGGAGTATGTGAGTCAGCGTTGGAGTTTCAGCAGGTGAGTCACACTGGACAACCAAAAACCGACCAGTGAAGATGTCGGGACAATAAACAAGCTCACGTTTCATAGAATTCAAGGGGCACTAGCTTCGGGAATCGCCCCACTTATATAGTACCATTGTTTATCGTTCACGTTCAATACGGGCTAACTTCGAATAACTTCGTTTAAGCAGCGATCAATTTATAGCCTGTAAAATGTCATCAACTGTGGTTATCACTTTTTGCTTCTTATCTGGGATGCGGCATCAGAAGATATAACAAAAAAATTACGAGGTTTCCCGGACGCACTGGATCCTTTTCGCAGCATCTCCATCGCTCATGAGAATGCGTCTGATCATGTCCTCTTAACCCACACCATGCATCACGTCGTTCAGGTAACGAGATATCTACTAGTTCCCCCCTAGTCCTATTGGTCAACAACCTTCATTTGTCTTGTAGCTCATGTGCATGTTTGAGAAGAATAAGAAAACACGGCCTGGCATGTACATCAACAGGGTTTAGGCATCAAATAAACGGTTGTCTCCGTCACCCCCGGGTACCTGCGCAAGTATACTCGGGCAAATTGCAACGTGGCGGTCCCACAACGGAGTCTTTGCAGTATCATCCGTTACGCACCGATAATTTTAAATAACCCAACAATTTTGAAACAAGGTAAACACACTTTAAGTGTGTTAGCTTTTTGTAAACGGCACTTGGCTTTGTATTTCACTAGCGCGTAGGGCACTGCAACATTAAGCAATAGGGCAAACCCGTAATATATAGGGACAGAAAAGGAAGTTTTGATTACTGTGTAACTGACTGACTGATGTTAAACTCCTCGGCGGCTGGCTCGCGTTACCCATTTGTGGGTGTGCGTGCCATAGAATTGGAAAGTGCCCATAAGAAACACTTACGGACCTAAGAATCTGGTGATAGGTGGCGGGTAGCAACACAAATAATCACGCTTGAGGCTTCTGAAGAAGCAACACTCCCTAACTTCTGCCTCATCAGTAATGCTATTGTTATTACCGTTTAAAACGACAATCAAGGTATGGATAAACACATTAAAAAAGGACAGCACAGCAACGTCTTCTCTCATTGATGTAGAATTACTTGATTTCTTGAACTTGTTTCGTTTCACCATTCGTCCTATTGGATTAAGTGATAACTTCCCCATCTGACTTAAATTTAATGTCAGGCAATTATTTCAACGCGAGTCAACTCCCGTGTCAGTACTTTAATGCCAATTTGCAAGACAGACCAAAAGGTCAATTGCTGTATTTATTAATACGAAAACATGGTCTTCTGTTAATAATAAACACTAATTTTGGGTGCACACAATAAATATGAATCTAAGGAAAGAGACTGAAGGTACAGACAGAAAGATTCAAAAGGCGATATTATGTATGGTGAGATATGTAGGTATTTAGGCGCTATGACTATACATACCTAATATGTGAATCACAATGTGCAAATACAGATACGCTGGTGTGACGGAAGGGCGCTTAATCAGTTTCTCAGAAGCCGACAATATAGCAGTAGTTCTCTAGGGAAGTGAGAAGTACATAGATTAGCCAAAGCGAGAGGAGGAAAATCGACGAAAGCCACTTGATGCTGATTGGTGTGCCGCCCAGCTCGCCGCCACCGAAGGCTGGTTTGCGTCGGATCACCAACACGGCAATCGCCACCAGGGCGAATATGCAGAATATGGTCACTGAGAACCCAAGCGAACCAGCGGGAACATAAAAGGTGGTCCCGCGGGCCCAGTGGACGACGCTCGCGATGGTCCACGCCACGCCGATCCCCAGGAACACGTTGACGGCGTTGCTCCCCGTCACATTGCATATCGACGAGTCGGCGTACTTGTCGCCGATGGCGGCAACTTTGCTCGCGAACGTATCTAGCAAAATGATGAGGGCAACATGCCCAGCGATAGTTTCATCCCAGGCATGGTTATCAAGCTTACTCATTTCTAGTTTGAGGGCCAAACAACAGAATGAGTGCTGCAAAAATGAAGATTGAGTGCACACAGACGTCAAACCAGTTGTTGAATAGTAATTGCTGCCGACTTCCTTCAAAACCAGTATATTCTTACGCAACAGTCATGAAGTACGTAAAATCCGAACTATTACAGAACGATTTCAGTGAATGGTTGGCGTTGACAAAAGATAGATGAATTAGAATATCAACTTTACTCAAATTGCCACCTCCTGATCTCAAGATCAAAATGCGCGTCGAAGTAGTTTAAAATCCGTTTCTCAACCCTTGAGAACGAATTGTCAATGAACAGAAGGTTTTTGGCTAATAAATTTAATGAGATATCATGGGTTTTGATAATAAAGATGAGTTTAAATATTTTTACGAAGTGCAATTGGACAAAACCTGGCTTTAGCACAAAACCTTTAAAAGTGTGTCTGTGGAAAAGCTACAATTTTAAAAAGCTATGTAGGCTAAAAACCTCAGTCTGGCCTTGTCTGAAATACGCAGACGATGAACGAAGGTTTCGAGCTCTGTGCAAATGGATATCTTCAACAATGGACTTGGCGATTTCAAAATGCATGACTTGTGCCTTGCTGTTACATCTTGAGCGCATGAGACAGACTCCGGTAAGTACGCGCGATTCCCTCTCGGTAATCCCGCTACCAAATTATCGTTTGAAAGATGTTCAGTAAAACCCTACACCCGTCAATGCTAATTACTGGACACGGATGGGTGCTTCGTGACACGTGTTGGTGCCAGCGCACCTCAGTTGGAAGATGTGACATGAACTGGAGCATCCAACACAAGAGATACAAACCCAATGCAAGCGATTAAAATTGGCAAAGGTACTAGAACAGAGACACAATCAAATCGCAGGGGACACAAAGGAAGCGGGCGTGGCGCAGGCGAGGTGACAAATGCGGTGTCCTTACCGGGCAAACTCGTGCCCAGAGCAACGAAGGTGGTGGCGGTGACGACGTCTGTGAGGCCCACTGTGCACCCGAAGGCGGAGGCGAGGTCGCCAATCACTGCCGTCAGGAAGCCGATCGCTATTATGCTCACAACAAAGCACAACCAACCACCGGCGTAATCTTGAAAGTAAAACAAAGCGATAACGACACCTTAGGAGTGGATGGCTCAGTAGAGTCTTTCAACAGTAAAATATCGCAAACACTGGATAAAGTGTGATGGCAACGTAAATGCACTTAACAAGTTATTTGTGAAAAAAAAAACAGCAGAACGCTAGTTTTACAGATTCTTCGCAGAAATTACCGTCACGTTCGTTTTGTACAGAGACTCAAATGACAGCTTTTAATGAATTTACACGATTGTAGACAAGGGAAGGCGGCGTAATTTGCAACATTCGAAATTTTGTCAGGTGAATGATGGGATCATCAGGTAGCGATATTTGAAGTAAAACCTTAGGAAAGCGTTTGATGAAATTCCATTCCTCGCTAACACACGAAATTCTCCATTGAGCAGACGGGTGAATGCAAAAATGAATTTTCGAGAAAGCAACTTTATTACGCAAATGTTGGAAGCACTGAATAGATCTGTGGTTGCTGTGACCCAAAGCACGGCGTTCGGAAGACTTTAAATGGAACACTTTCAGGATAGTCAAATTGTCATTTTAGAAAACACATTAGTCAGTGACTTCACATGATGGTATTTTTATAAGAGAAATTGCCATGTCTGCAAAAATGCCTGAATTTGTGGTAAAATATTTATACAATGATTTGAAAAGAATTTTTTTTGTTCAGTTAGAAGTGTATAGACAACAGGAGGGTACAACAGTTGTGCCTACCAAACAAACTAGCAACACAAGACAACTCAATGACGCTTTAACGTGTACATTATCACAATGTAGCTGGAGATGGAAATAGAAGTGATTCCGTATGGAGACAAAAACAAGGTATTAAGGTGTGGATTTGAAATGAGGATAATGTGCCAGAAAATTCACATCAATTCATGCCATTAAGTCACACACACACGCACGCACACACTTGGGCACGAAAACGTAAATCTCAAGTGGACACTGACGTCTCAGATGTGTGCACAGCGCTCAAAGTGGTCAGGTTCAAAACACAAATGTTTAACAGGCAAACACAAGCACAACAGCCAAGTAAACAAGGCAAGGAAATATGTTCGACTATTTTGTGTTCCAAATACATTAACGCCCAGACGTGGAAATGTAACTAAAGTGCTAACGTTGTCATCACAAATGTGTTGCCATGGCCACAAAAACACCAGCACGGACTTTTTGTTAGGTGAATATAAATGCTCAATAGGAACATTCCTATCCTTTGAGATGCCGGATTTAGCGTGACTCTAACAATGCATTTCAAGAATTTTAAACTACACTTGCACAGAAAATTGTGCTTGTTAACTTCAGAGTGCTCACGCGGAAATGTGCCAAAAGTAAAGTGATTTGCACATTTACACAAAAATACCCAGAAGGGGAACACCGTCACCTAGACTCTACACCTAGATTTGGACAAAGTGTTTCACGTTCGTTGGTGGCAAATATGTGCCTTTTACTGTTGTTAAAAAGACTCTTTGGCGACCGCAAAGGACGAAAGTGTGACCGCTGTAGTTGTTTTCAGTCGATTTCTAAAGGAGATGGGTAGTCAATTTGGTGTTCAGGCGCATGTTAATGCAATTTCACGGTTCTAAGCTTCTGCAAAAGTTGAATAGTGCTGCTGGATGACAAGAGATGCGACATAAACAGGATGGCAAAACTTGGTGTCGAGGCATTCCAGCGAGAACTTGATTAAATACACGGACAGGAAGTCTTGCACTCCATCGTGACTCAGCAAAAGCAAAAGGGGAGACAATGCAAATGAACAGCCACTCCACAGCCTCCTTGTGGTCAACAATCCAGAACTGGACATGTATACATATTACGCGTTTCATAGTCGTTTTCACAGACAGTGCATTTTATGCATTTATTTTTCCATGAAAAGCGGACATGCAAAAATGCGATGAGAAAGAGGCTCAGGATTTTGCTCTAACAGCAACCATTTTGCGAGCAGAGGCTCCCGTGCCGCAATAAAAAAATTATTCGATTACATTAGACGGGCGCGACTGGTCTTCTAAATAACACCATTCAGACAACAATTTTCAGGAGCAGTAAATTTGAAAAAAAAACAGGATCATTTGCACAACAACTTCCACAATTTCTCAAAATATCGAAACAAAATTTGGGGTTTCATGCATTTTCAAGCGTGTTTATCAAGGATTTAGTTACGTTTTCTTGAAAGCAGTAATGTTATGCCACTTACTACAATTATACAAAATTGTCACTTACGAAGACAATTTATTGACCCAAAAATGATTTTTAGCGAGTATTAAAAAATGTGACCCATTGCCCTGACAAGAAGACATGAACGCTGATTGCGACGAAACGACTGGCATTTCACTTCATCAGAAGCAGCGAGACAGTGTGGAATCGAAAGCACGGCAAAATCTGCCTGCATGAAACACCCCGCGGTGTAGTTTTGTACGCTTGGATAATTTTAACCTGGCTATGTGCGCATAAAATATTAACAAATAAGACTGAACTACTTCAATTTCTAATAACGCATAGTTAACACCAAATTTCAACCCCACGAAGCCCTTTATTGTACCCTACACAATTAAGAGATAATCCTATGCAAACTAGTGAAATTAATACGCAAGAAAGTGATTGATTTACAGCGAAAAATATGTCAACATTCACAATAACAGGGAACTTATTGACATTGGAAGACGTTAAATTGCGCTCATCATAACTAACAAAACTAGTTAATTAAATTAGCTTGGAACATGTTTGGAACATATTTTAAAAACATCCACAAAGTGATGGTTCACGAAGACAATTTTAAAAGAACACTCAAAGGATATGTCGAGAATTTCAACTTTAGGCTTTATTTAAAATGCCACCAAGATGTGATGTTGGATTGTGTTTCGTCGGCTGACGCTACCCAACTACCACATGTAAAGGGCGAAAAAAGGGAAGACGTTTTTACATTTCTAGTTGCATCTATGGGTTTTCACCTCGTAACCTTTTACTAAGCACTACCATCAACTTGTGTAACACTTTGCAATCGATGACTGATCAAGGGAGCAACAGCTGTCGGTTTCCAGCTAAGTGTTTTATGCTGTTACTTGAGACGAATATTGAGTACGTCCGGGGACGACGATGGCACTACCACCAAGTCCTTTGAGGACACATTAAGAATGGGCGCAATACAAGAGGGGGTGATAGGTATGACCAGCAATTAGGTCGCATTGCATAGCAGTGCAGCTCGTGTGAAAAAACTAAGACTTAATCATAAGAAGCACATCTACGCGCAAAGTGCTTCCCAATTTCGGTGTGACGCAACCAAAGTTTTTTGTTCATGCGGTTTAAATCGCAAATCTCCACCAAAGTTGGAGGAATGCGAATTCACCAGCAGTTGCATTATCAAAGAAATCTGCAGAACCTTTTGAACTTGCTTGAGAGAATTAACTAAAGGGAGTGTAAAAGAGACAAGGGCGAGGGAACGTACCGGTTGGAGGCACGAATGCAAATAGAACCTTCCAGAAGACAGTCAAGAAGTGCATAACGTAGTCCATGCACGAGGGCATTTTTACCTCACCCTCCGCTATCGCCTCGAGGTCTTCGTCACTGCCTGGAAGAGAGGGAAAAATTAGCAGAAGCCAGCACCCACAAGGCATAATTTCAAAATATTTCGCCAGATACAGTCTGTTGTCAGTAGGATCCACTGCTGTGGTTCCACTGTCCGCATCGGGAACTGTGGTTTAATACCAAACCCCCACGCAAGTAAAACACTTCCAGATTATTTACTACAAGATTCTGTTCCAATACATGTGGAAATGCTATAGTTAATTTGTTAGGCCGCGTTGCTGACTTCAATGACACCCAAGGACAATTTAAAAATAGGTGTAACTGGTGACACACGCAGGACTCATTAAAACCAATGCAACCTAAACAGATACAGTACGCCTAAGGAACCTTTAAACAGAAAAGTCAAACCACAGGAAGTCCTAAATTGATAAAACAGTGGCTATTTTTAGCATGAAAGCTTGCATAATATTGATTAAATTTTTTTTAATGGAAAAACATCTATAAAGTGTGTATGGCATCACTTCGGTAAAGTGTGAATGCTGCAGTTTGGTGAATTACTAGCAGATGTATTTGCGTTTATACGCCCTTGCAAAATAACCACCACCTTCCTTATTTTGTCTATATGAAGTGAACTTTTGTTCTTGGGATGAAGTAATTTTTCGACAAATACTTAGACATCAACACAATTCCTCCAATTTTTCTGCCTAAATTTAGAAAAAAAAGTGAATAGGGTGATAAGTGAATGTAAACAAAACCAGGAAACCGCGCTGGACACAGTAAAATTAATAATTTCGATCAAACCCTAAAGCATTTTGCTATGTGTGCTGGAACGACTAGCAATAAAAAGTAAGCAACATTTTGTCGTTTCGATAATTAGTAGTGAAATATTCATTCAATCAGTAACCGTTGCAAGCACAATTCAAAATTGCACGCCTTTAATGCTTCAGCAACAGCTCGTGACGGTGCCAAACACTCGTGACTACTTGGGGGCAATGCGCGTTGTTTGTCTCCGTGCGTGACGCGCTCGTCTATCTTACAAAAGGCTTCCAAACCATGTAAGTGCCTGCTCACAAGCACAAGGGACTTCCAAATTACATATCAACTTGGTTACCAAAAACAAATGTGGTCAATTAGTACGTTGTTAAAACATTATTGAAATGCCGGTGAGTCCTTGAACTTTAGAGTCGGAGCGATACTTAAAATCAACCTCACTTAACATTACACACTAAGTGGTCATCGAAATAAAACACGGACTGCAGGGCGTAAATACAGTTTTAAAATAGATCAAAGCTTCATCGAAAAAGTACAATTATACATATAATGCGAAGACACACATAAAACGACAATTACTGGTGCAAAAAGAAGGCGTACCAGCACTGACGGTGATGGCGTCTACAAACTGCTCCTTCCAGGAGGAAGTGCCGACCAGAAGAGCCCATTTGCCGTGCTTAACCAAACGATCAACTGTATTCTAAAAAGACCAACTTCATAAAGAGAAAATTTGTCCGCTTCGAAAATAGTCTACGAGTGTTAAGATACTTAGAACGCATTAGGGCGCTATGCGAATGCTGGCATAATCAAAGCCTGCAATCTCTACGACATGTACACGTCATAGTCGACTTCACAAAACTCACGAAGTTGTTAAAACCGGATCCAACCAATTCGGCCTGTATCCAAAACCACAAAAAAATTCTACGTTTGTTTGCGTTTCATAGATACCTGAAAACGTGTCAGTAGTAAAGTGATCGTAAAAGCGTAGTGCCTGCCGATTCCACTGCAAGTACCTTATTATGTTAAGCAGGGTAAACCGCATTTAAATTGCGAAAAAACCAATTGGGGTAACTTCGTTTTCGTGGGAATTATTGCATTCTCGTGATCTAATTAAACTTAGTAAAATTTAAAATTCCAGATGACCACCGTCAACAGAGATTATACCTACAATTTCATACAATCAATAAGAAAAAAGGAAATTTTTTGGAGTTACAACCTTTAAATTAAATAATTACACAGATGGAATGCTATGTGTGACAAAGAAGCCCACGAGGAGGGATAACTCAGATGGAACATTGTGATATTGCGAAATTAGGCACCTTACCGAAACTAAATCAAATGAGGACACTGTGTTTTAGCGATTCTTAATCAGGATTCATTGTGCTTAATAAACGTACAGGAAATACACAGGATTCTTTTGTCAAAAAATAACGTGAAAGTGAACCAGAAGTAAAACGGCTTTGGATTTTAGATGTCTCAAAAAGATGGCATGATAGAAAGAGGCCCTTGAGGCAAGACAGCCCCGCACCAAGCAGTGATCGCACACCGACGGACGTACGAACCAGGGGACAGGGGAACGGGATCGATGGTGTGGTCCACGTTCTATTGGCTTCCCCTGCTCAACGAGGCAACCAGTTCAAAGTCCTCACACGTGCGCCTGCTCGATTAACACTGAGGTGGCTGCTTGCCCCACCGGATTTAACAACTCAACAATCAAGAACATTGAAGAAAAATGCTGGGGAGCTGACACGGCCAACGGCTATAGTAGCAGGTCGATCTGGTGTTAGGTGATGGTGTAAAAATCCTATTGAGATATCTTCCCAACACGATTACAGAAAAATTACTGAGGAGTGTTTACGTATCGAAGCAGTCTTTTAAGTATGGGCGGAAGCAAGTATAATTGTTTAACCGCCGAGATATCGCGCCGGGTGTGAAGAAATAAATCGACTAGATTTAGGTATATTTAATTTTGAATGCGTGTGAAACATGCGTTGATGACAAACAAATGCACGGATAATCGTGATTCAGCCCCCAATAAGCGTTTATTTCCCCCAATGAACTGAGTGGACACCGATGCAAAGTGGATCGGGTGGCGATGTTTCGTTAATTACCTTGAACTCGGTGCTCTCCCTAATGTTGACTTGCAAGCGCACCAGCTGCCCAAGCCTCGGCAAACCCGTGTCCAGGTCCTCATTTTTGTGGACTTTCGAGGGTCCCAGGGGGTCGGTGGAGGGAGGGACTTCGTTGGAGTCAGCACTTCGCGTTGTCCCCCTCGGATCTTCTTCGCTCGACGAGAACAACTTGTGCGTCATTTGGGAGAAGAATGACAGGCCACCTGAAAGTGAAAACGGATACCGGCCTCAAGGTAAAATACATGTCTCTTACAGTTATTTTGGAAGGAATCATGAGGCACAACCAGTGGCCTTAGTGTACTGACGACGAAAATTCAAACGAAATACATGTTGACCACACTTTTGTAAACTTCAAGTGCAGCTCAAAGGCGAGTTGCACGACAAAGTGCTCGATCATAACAAATTACTCACAAAACAGACTGAGAGTCTGTGGGCTGCTGAGTCTCAATATGTGGGATACTGAGGACCACTGTATGTAGTACCACCTGTCATAATATCGCAAATTTATTTGTTTGAGAGTGGTAGGATTATAAAATACACACCGTTCACACCGAGCACGGCCTCGAGTTAACTTTCCGGCTGGTTGATCTTTGTGGGGGTGACAAAAGCACCCGAACTCGCACTAATTCCACCACCCAAATTCACGTCAGCTAACAAATAAGACACCTGTTGTAGGCTATAAAAGACAACGTTTTTTGTGAACCATCCAACAAAATTCTGGGTTAAATGAATAAGTTCACAAGTCCTGCACAATGTAATATGAGATTATAGAAACTGACGAGTAGCGTGCGCATGTAAGACAAAGTTTTCACATTGTTCGTGTCGGGAGGTCGCCCAGAGTATTAATTTATTAAGGAATAAATCTTGGTAACTTCGAGAGAACGAAAAGTGGGTGTGACTCACACAGAACACGACACTGGCAGCTGAGTTACAAACGTATGTCGCAGAAACCCCATAAAAAACAACTTAGCGTATGTACTCACAAAAGACCGCTTTTCGAATACCTGTGGCCCGTGACGATGGCCCAGGCATTAAAACCTTGTCCTGTTGAAACATAATTTCTGATGAAAAGGGTAACTCAACATGTGAATAATTTACACAAGGTCTTTCGAGAGTGGGGAATAATAGCAATTTTAAATGACAGCATTAAATAACGTACATCGACAAGTTAAGGCCGAACTAACTCATACAGTGAAAGCTGAGGTCTAACGATCGATGCAAAACTATCTTAGCAAACGTGAACACAGATATCAATAGCTTACTGGGATCATCACACACTGGTTGAAAGGTAAACGATAAACTCATAATGTGGTGGAAGAATGTGTGATTAAACGGCAAAAACACAAACTAGAACTGCTGTTGGATGACAAGTCAACCGTTTCCTTTCATTTCCATTACAACTACGTTTGTCAACATACGCACCAAGGGATACCCACGAAATCTTACTGCTTGCGGGAGAAGCTCAAGGCGGCTTTTCAGGAATTAATCATAATTAGCACAGAAATAGGGCATGAGTATGGAATCTGGGAGGACAGACACTTGGAAGCAAACATTTGCGAAAAATAAAGCGAAATCATTGTTGACTTAATCACGTCGCTTTTTCCTGTAATATGATATTGTCTCAGAATGCAAATATGGCAGACCTTCCACTGAACTCAGAGCAAGCTGAATGTCCAGCGGAATAGATGGATTAGGACATTAAGTAAAACACGACGAATGGGATGGTAAAATATTTTCCTACACGATGCAGCACGCTGAGAAACCCAGCCGAATTGATTTCTAATGTACGAGTAACAATTAAACTTTGCTGGTACAGTTTACTAGGAATGCAATGGCCATTCGCAAAGCAACGGTACAAACTGTTAACTAAAGTTGGAAATGTGCCTTCAGACAATATTCGCCTAAATAGCGCAAAAAAAACATTTACAAGCGAGAAACAATTTGTTACACCACTGAACTCCTAAATAGCATGGCTAGGGTACCGTAAAGTTAGAACACAAACAATCATACTATTTTGGCTCAAATTCTAATTTAATTACAAAAATCCATCGTATGAAATAGGACCCCGGATAGCAGATTAGAAAACAAGTTTTCTTTTACCAATCTGTCATACCAGCTTCTAAAATCAACAAACTTGTCACCGAATGGGTGATCTTGAATGAAAGCGATCGGCATTTGTTGAAACGCTTCGGCGTAGAATCAGTTCATTGTAATCACAGGGACTCACAAGGCTGTTTTGCGCCGTTTATCGACCTGAACTTAAGCGCCAAGCATAAGCATGATGTATACATTCTGAAAAAAATGCGCTAGAAAGTGCTGTGGGAATGCATAACATAAATCCATAGTAAAGTATACATGAGACTAAATGTTTTTAAGGTTATGCGTCGTGGTCTTTCGCATCAGAAACCAGGTCCATTGACAGCGGTCAGAGAGGCGATCTGTGTATAGGTCCAGTGGAAGAGGCTAGAAATGCCAATAAAGGCTCAGCAGGAAGACACGCTGCTTACCGTGCAACACAACTGAGGACGATGACTGTTGAGGGGAAACGCCACCCCGGTAAGTTTAGTGAAGCACACACTGAAAACCATTTATACTGCTGCACATCCTCATCGAATTTAATTTGAATAGGCGTCCTTTTGACTGAAATTTCTGTTGATTGGTCCTTCTAACTCAACACATTCAGAGCGTTAAGGCAAGAGACTAACTAAATATGTGGCTCAAGATAGGGACTAGCCAAACCAACTAACAGATGCAAGTGATTGCTCGCACGAAATTAATTTTCAATGATGAATTGATGGCCTTTTTACTAATAATGCTGCCCAAAGAAAACGATGAATTAACTACTGTATTGCTAACCACCAGCAGTCCCGATTGCCTTAATACAAAAAACCCTCAGAAAAGCCCCAAGAGTAGTCGAATTTCCCACGTGAACGATGTGCACATTTCTCATAAGCCTCCATCTTAAAACAAGAAACTTACTAAAATGGTCAATTAACCAATAAGGAATGGCTTCAGCCCCGTAAAAGTCGAGGAAATCAACAGTCGAACTTTTGGCACAAAGAAGGGTTGAATGTTTATCTGCCGGGGACGTTAATGTAGCACAGTGACGTTAAAGACATGCTGGGGGAACGCAAAGAGCATTGTAAGGGCTTTTATATTTCACACTACACAGAGGTTTGTTAATATTTGCTTTTGAAGAAATTTACAGGTAGAAAGACAAAGTCGCGAAACAATTATCCCCATGCCAGTTTTATTGTAAGCTGATACTACGAGAACGAAACAGGGATACAACAAGGTATTTGCAAGTTTCATGGATTAAAAATTGAAGGTGTTTTTTAAGGCAAAGGTACCAACTGTGGAGCGGAGCACAGCGATTACGTATTCATTTCTGAAACGGCCAATGTTTAACACCACGTACGTGTATGAATGGATGCAATGAGAAGGAGTATTAAGCTATTAGGCAAAGCAGCGAACCGAAATGAAAACAAACATGCGAAATTGCCAGGAAAGTAAGCAAACAAGGAAAATCTGAGGTTTAATTAGGCTGTGCGAAAAAAGCACATTCAAACGATTTACAAAAAAATTAAAAGATTGAGGGAAAATAGAAATGCGTTTGGAGTTAGGCACAAGAGAAATGGACTTGCAGCATTGATGTAAATTCAGTCACAACTAAAATGACCAACTAATTCCAGGGAGGCATTGGGCAATGAGTTAAGAGGGAGAAATTGTGTGAAACGCGGGTTGCTGAAACAAACACCACGTCTTTATCTTATACTCTACAAACCAGAAAAGCTAAAGCTGTCCATTTCCTCTCCCTTAAATTGACAGCAACTTGAGCTTAGCCAAATCTTCACCGTAGATTCACTGTTTGACTACTGGGATTTGGTAATTTATCGAATCTACAATACTGAACACCTATTGCTGTTGGTAAAACACTGGTGGGTGAGATTTTTGGCAAAGGCAACCTGTAGAGATTTGTGACACTATTTTTACCTTAACGACCAGAATCTGAGCGAGACAATAAACCGCATGAGACAATGGCGCAGTTATTTAATATGGTTGATGGAATTCTGTCTTAGTTCGCTGCTTCATCAAGATGCTCCACACATTTCGCTTTCCAACGGACATTAATTAGCACAACTTGGGAACTTTAGTTAAAACCACATTGGAGCAGTTGCAAAGAACCTGTTTGTGAGGACGTTTAAAGTGCTGATAAATGCTTCAAACTAATTTGGGTGTATTGAGTGAGCTAAGAGGAAATAAAGTGAATTTCGTGGGCACAGAAAACGTACACAATTGTTTACGGTAAATAGCGAAAAGGTGTCGTAAAGGATTCAACTCACTAAACCCATTTCATTTTATTTATAATAAATTGAACTAAGAAATTTCCCACTTAATACGGGTTATTTATGTGAAATTACGATGAATTTAGGTTCCAGTAAGCAACTTTACGAAAATTATGACCTTTACCTTGGGAATGCTTTTCGATCACGAGCTTGTAAATAATGTAGAATTGCCATTACTCTTTTACCAACATCCCCAAACAACAGAAAAAATATATTTAAAGGATTAACGTAGCTTTCAGTCAACTTCCTAGAATAAGCCCACAACGTGTAAACCAACAGATTTCTTAAAAAATGCGTTTACGAGTTAACCATTGCCATGTAATATCAACTAAAAGGTTTTGACCACAAGCACACAAACTTAGTAAAATATAGTGAGTCACCCCAAAAACGTGTGAGGATTCCACGAATAAATCTGGCTCTTTAAAAGACGCTAATGTATGCTACGCTTCTTGAAATATGGAAATAATCAACTGAACCGCATAGCTGAGTCATTTACACTTACACCAGGAACGCTATTTCCCAATTATTAGATTATTGGTGATTAAAACATTGTGAGCTGAATTGGAATAATATCGAAATCTGGTGAAGTGGTACTACTGTTTATGGAGTACTCCTAATGGCCCCAACGAAGCGACAGGCACGAAACTTTGCGAAATAATAAAAAGGCCTTTTCTTCATAAAACATGTTTTTTTTGTTTACAAAAGAGCTAATTTGACTTCTCTACTAATCACACCCAGAGACAGCAGAAATGCATTTTGCAAGGGGAGGGCCACCAAATTAAAATAACAATGATGAGTTACAATTTATCTCGAAAGTTGAATTGCCGGTAGGAAGGTGGAATGCGTGCGGTAACCAGAATATCTTTTTTAGGCTTTAACTCAAAGCAGAAGGTGTACATAAAGTAAAGGTACGGCTGCGCTACCCTCAAATACATTTTTTGGCTAAAACCATCCTGGAATGCTCACAAAATATGTCACAGTAAATACGATAATTACTTCCTGACTCCACTTTAGTCAGGAAGGAAATTATGACATGGAACTAAAAGCTCATCACTAGGGTGTTATCCCTTGGCCTCATTAAACCATCTAATCAATTGAAAAGCCTGAATACGTGCCATCCGGCATATTTTTCTGGACAGCTTTAAGCAAAACCCAATGAAATTTTCTCAGGAGACATGTGCTGTGTCGCCGTTTAAACCGAAACCGGCCAAATAAATTGTTTGCCTCCAGTTAATCACAACAGGGCGTAGTCATTATCAGCAAATGCCTCGGCTGAGCCCACGCCAGGGACAGAAAAGACTGTGAAAATTGAACAATTGAAACATGTATCTGTACATGCAAAACAGCCGCCAAGTAGCTACCGTGAGAGGGATAACTGATTAAAAATTCATAGAGGGCATGCGGGAAATGCTAGAACAAAATGTCCTCGCAAAAAAGGTCTTTTTGATGTTTCGCTTAAGAAGACGGGTCCTTATATACATACAATTTTGTTGATATTTTAAAATCCACTTCAGTTAACTAGAAAATTCAATGCTAACGTTTGGCTGTTGATGTGACCATCATTTTCGACCTCTGTATAAGTTTTAAGACAGATGCAAATAGACCATGCATATAATCCTCAATGGAAATGAGAATGACATAAGCGACTGAAAGAAGTCTTGCAAAATAATGCAGATTCAAAGGGTCGTAAGCGTTTCTAATTTTTACGTGGTCCCGTTTTTGCACCTGCCTTATCGCATTTTCAAAATTACGTCGTGATCAGAATAAGGATCCGCCAGACACTACTGCACCATGTCGCATCTCTCAAAAGCAATGCATGACTATACCTTCTCTTTCCATGAGAATGGGTTCTCCAAGTTCAATGAAAAAGTATTCATTCTTTTCGTATTCATTATCGTCCACAATAGGCACGCGAATGAGAGCCCTGAAGTATAAAGAAAATGAACACGTTTCAAAGATAAATATGTGGTTGTATTGGGGCTGAACAAGCATGGACAATTAAAGCCGTGAAATGCTGTAGCGATGTCACAAAAGTACTGTGAAGTTTAAATTCACCAATAAGTTAGATACATCAAGTGTAATCCCCAACCAATTTCTCCTAATTGCAACAAAGATGAAGGCAGAAAACTCGACTTCTGGTAGTAGCTGTTAGACGACAGAACGCAGGCACGACTGCCGTTTAAATGCCAAATTACCTCATTCGAGTTTGGTCTCCGCGGTAAATGCCATTTGCCAAAACCAAGTTAATAATTCTCACCATATTTGAAACTCAAACAAAGTAAATTAAAAACTGAGTCTGAACACTACTTCGCACTCAAGAGCTTGAGACCCTCCCAAAAATGTGACATTTATTATTTCAAGACGACTATGTAAAAACTATAAAAACTCGGATACCATTATCTGTAATAAAAAGAAACGATTATTTGCAAAGAAGGAACATAAAGTAACGACACTTTTGAAATGAGGCTTTGAAAGCTGATTTTTAAAGACGTGGTGATTTATCCCAATAGCAGATAGTCTGTAATGAGAGAAATTAACGTGATCGGCGACAAAAACGCAGCGTGTTAACACAAATATAATAAAAAACACAGTTTGCAAAATAGGGAACCATCACATTAATAGACACGAAGGTGCCATACGCACAAACAAATTTCCTAATCAGTATCTGTTAGGAAAAATTTTTGCGAACATAAAACCATAGTTTAATTATTGTGGACAGTGCCTAAACAAGTTAAACGTACGATCAAAGATCTGGCTACGAACCATCAAACATTATACAAAGCTGGTCCTTAAACACATTACGACAACACGACTAGAAGCATTATAATATCATAATACAATAAGAAGGGCAAATCCAATACAGTACAGTGAAACGTTAGAATGTATCATTAGATTAAAAAAAGTTTACATTAAATTCTCCCGCAAAACAATCAGAGTTTATTGCTACCATTAAGTTAGATACGTCAAGGGTGATCACTAACTGATTACTCGTAATTGCGGGGTTGTTTTTAAGCAGTAAAGTCAGATTTGGAAAAGAAGAATATCTCCGAATAAATAACAAAATTAACCATAAAAGAAAAATAAAAAGCGCTCAACGATTCGTTTAAAAACATTTCTTGCGGTTCGAATTGTAAAGGTTTGGGGTACAATCACCTCAACTAAGGTAAAAAATTAAAAGAAAACTTACTCAGTCTGATCGTTCTGAAACTCAATATATCCGGACGTGTCCATGTAGTCTTCTCCGTTACCCTTAGCTGTTCCATCAACCGTTTTAAAAGGAAGTCGCACAACACCTCGGGCTCCTGAGTAAAATGAGCATTAAATTTCACGCAATTTTCAACGTAATATGTGAGTAGGTTTAAAAAAAATTATTCATACCTGAACTGCGGCAAACAGAGAACTCGGCAACTTCGCATGATTCACTCACGTCGACTGATTCAGAACTAAAGTGAAAAACACCAGCGTGATCATCATCGAGCACCATGACAGTAGCGACAGACGGATCAACGATCCGACAATCAGGATTCGGCTCGTAACTGTGAACTATGCGAAGATTGCTAAGGCGGACATTAAAGTGTTCGTCTTCTTCAAAAATATCATCATCAATCACAGTTATGGAGATTTGCTTATGTTGCTCATCGGGTCTGAACACGAGTGTCCCATTAGTAGGCTCATAGTCTTCACCGGCAACTGCAGTTCCATCTTCTGTAGCATAGTCGATTGCAACCTCATTTCGAAGGTCTCCACCTCTCCGTGAAACAGTAATATGGAAGCTGCCGACGTTTTCCATTACGGTATAATGACCAGGATCAAAGTAGAATTGCTGAGTCTGCGGCCCATACAGTTCAGTTATTTCGGCAGTATGAATGGACAACTTGCGTTCGAGCTTTGATTTTGTCACTAAATTGCCACCTCCTGTCAATTGTCGGGTTGCCTGTATGCGATAATATGCCCTTGACTTCGGTCCTTTGTTCAGAACTTCTATTTGTGCCAGCTCCTCAAGTTCTTTGGGGTCAATATGGGGATGCTTTTTGCGAATTTCTTTTATGGTTTCGATGTACTCTAGCCGAGTTTTTTCAAATTCTTCCTCAATGGATCCATCACTGCTATCCGTTGAAGAAAAATCGACATTGGGAATTTTTCCATTTGCTTCTAGATCATCAACTGATTGGAAAGTATATTTTCCTTTTCCTCTTGCCTTGTACTTCTTTTTCAAAAACTTTTTCTGAAAGAGCTTAATGTCAGCCACGTAAGCAGTAATAACGGTGATTGGGAAAAAAAGAAATGTAAGAAATGCTTCCCAAAATTCCACAATACCTTTAGAAGTTATGGCGATAATAAAATAGAGCCAGAGATAAGCAAAAATGCTCCAAATAGCGGTGACAATAAAAACGCCAAAATGCTTTATCCTGCGCACTTCTCCTTTCGGTATGACAGCGATGCAGATGCCGATTATGACAAACAAATTGAAAGCAGCAGAACCAACAATTGTTCCAGGACCAAGGTCTCCAGCTTCGAAATTAGTTCCGCAAATCTCAATGACGGAAAGCAATATTTCCGGTGCAGAAGATCCAAGTGCCATTAATGTCAGGTTTGACACAGTTTCATTCCATATTCGAACGGATATAACTTGGATTTCACCTGATTTTGTTTTGATCCTAACCTCCTTTTCCTGGCTAGTGATTACTTCAATCGCAGCCATAAATCTGTCCGCAATAATTGAGACTCCCAAAAAACAATACATTAGAGACAAAAAATAGACAATTGATCGTCCTGCTGTCTGTAAAATACTGACGTTGTCGACAGGAGACCAAACGGGTAGAAGTAAGCCTTCTTTGCAACTAATATGAGCTGTAGATGGACAACTCCCATTAGCATCCTTTGCTAGGCCATTCACCCCACTTATTAACCAAAAACATGTTAGAAACAAATATTCGCCTCGGAAAATCATTGACGACATTTACGGGAGCACATGAAAGGCGTTTAACGTACACAAGCTCGATTTACCTCCACATATAGCAAGGCTAGGTCATGCGCATGAACCAATCAACTGGTGCGAATAAAATTGTACACGATCACTCAGGGATGCAATTGACGTTAATTAAGACCTATTCTGATTTATGCAATTTAAATTTACATTTACATGTTTAGAACTATTTTAAAATTACGATTTCATAAATAAGTTCAAAAAGGCATCTATTAGTATTGCAGTCGGTGATATACCATGTTAAAGAACTGGAATAATTTCCTATGTATCGCTTTCAATTTTCAGGAAGATTCGCCCCACAATAACATAAATAATTAGATTTGGAATGCTTGCTCACCAGATATTCTACTCTAATTATAACAGATGTCAAAGGTGCGGTGAATATGTGTTTCGTATCAGAATGTCCATTAGAAGCTGCTAGAATGAAAATGATATCTCCAAAGCTTGATCCTTATAACCTGGTAAATAAAGTGTGATGGAACGATTAGGTCCTTTAGAGTTTCAACATTGTATTTCTTCACAAAATTCACTTCGAACACAGTTGAGCCAAACACTACATCCTCAGGCATTTCCGGTAAGTCGTCTCAATGACCATATTTCCGTAGCAATGGATTTAAACCATCAACCAAACAGCCAATTCCGCCACTAGATTTGCACAGACGAGGACACTTTATTTATTAATAAGCAAACCTGTTCATGCAGGTCCTTTCGTCTGACAATTTTCGTTATTATTATTATAATTGCAATGGAATGTACGTTTAATTCGAATTCCGAAAGTTACGAGCAGCATGTTAACGGTGTTAATATTGTGAATTTTTCATAACTGAACCACAGCAGATGCAATTTGACAGACAAAATCACAGTAAAAGCCAAGCAAATGTGTAGTAAAGCAACATCATGTGCTTGAATTTTGTGAACTTTATAGTCAGGATTGCCGCTGTAAAACGTAAGAGGCTTTTCAAATTTTACACCTACTTTGTGGTTTAATAATTGGTTCAAAGACTGACTACATTAGCATATTTGGATTAATCATGATCATACAGTAAGAATCTGAGCTAGTAGTTGTCGCTAGGATATACGTAAGTAAATTTACGTTGCCGAACTTTGACCTCACCGGTTCTCTTAAAGAACTGTAATTTTAGTTACTTCTACCACGTAATATTTTAATTTTTCAAATAGGGATTTATCTCCTTTGATATAATTTAAATCAGGTAGCCTTTGGTGCAGTCGCAAATCGATCTATTTTGATGTTTCAGTATGATAGAACTTGAAAGACAACTCGCAGTTGGAACGCCGTCTCTGTCTGATCTCCAGTGATTTAAAAGTCCAGATGAACAGTTAAAACGTCCTAATATTTCGACAAATAGTTAGCCATTGAAGCCATTTTTAATGCATTTGGGTCTGGTGAGGACACAAATACGTTTTTATCGATTTAAAAAATAAAATGTAGAGCAGCATGCTTGAAGATGCGTTGAAGTAGCTCTGCTCAAGTTTTCACTACATGACTATAAACGAAATCTAATCCCACTAACCTACATAAGCTTTGCAATATAGATATTTTGCTTTATACTTAGGAACTCGTTATTTATTAGATAACAACATTCGTTAGGAAATATTAATTTAATCGCTTGCAAACGAATTGAACAGAAACTAAGATTTGGGAATATTTGTGGGGAAAGTCCAGTCCGTGAAAATGCTCGAAACCGGGCCTAACCCCATTTAACTAATTTAATATTTATTTGGTTATTAAATATGATTTTTTAGAAAATGGGCATTAAGACAATGCATTTTATATGAAGTAGATAGCTAAAACTTCCGCCAAAAATCTTGGGATTATAAACCACAGCTGACGGTTTTTTAACGGGAAATTGAAGTTTCTTGCTATAATTGGGCGCTGTTACTGAAGCATTTGAACAGGTAATTCACTTGCTTTTTCCTGAAAGGATTGTACCGTCTGTCTAAATGACATTTAAAAGACCTGAAAGGCAAGTAATCGAGTACGTAGGTTATCAAACATGTGTACATCGTAAAACAATTCCGCGTTTGATTAGAAATATGTTGAAGCCAATCCATGATAGGTAAATCGGTCATTGTAAATCGAGGCACGTGAGGCTTTATAAATTATACCAAGTGGTGGTACCTGGTTTAAGTTTTATTTAGACGTCAGTGCGTTCGGTAACAGAATAATCATCTCTCGGGAAATATGAGCAGATGTGAAAAATGCTCTCAACACCCATTCATTTATTGCAACAACACGGCGGGACTCAAGCACCTTTTATCATTAACCTGTATTTGACCAAAAACAAAAAAGCCTTGTTTGAATACCGTCCACTAGACAAGAGCAAGTACCTCCATGCCCGTCGTATTCGAACTAGATGCTTTCTTATGAAAATATACACAATTAACCGTACAGTTTACTTGAAAATGCAATGACGATAATTTGAAAGTGTTTGTGATTACTTTCTGCCTCCATTGCATTAAAAAAAGTTGATATTAGGGAAAAGGACCTGTCCGACGATACTTCAATAAACTTTCCAATACCATCGTTCATTTTAAGTATATGCGTTTTGGGAAAGTATCTCTGCCCTGGCTAGGGCCAATCATTTGCTTACAGTTCAGGACAGACTTGTCCACTTTCACTTGCCGTAACGAAATTTAGGAAATTCCAAGGCCATCAAACTCGATTTTGAGTGCGAAACAGGTACACAGTTTGAAAACTCTGAGAAAAAAAGCTATAAATTACCAATTCAGGTGAATGAAAATGTTGGAGCTAACAGCTAGCAAGAAACCAATGTTCGGTCGATTCACAGGAAACAATTCTGCTCATACTTATTAAAAGAGGAAGAGTGCACACTGGTTTGTGAAATTACCGTGTGGTAAATAAGAATTTACACGAAAGCGCAGCAATGTGGCAGTAGTTAGAAGACGCGAAATTGCTGAACCCAAAGCAGTTTTCTTGTGCTCCAAATGCATAATCACTTTTAAGAATTAAATGACCTTGAGCAACAAGTAAGGCCTAGCAAATCTCAACTCCACCACAAAAGCGAGTAGGACCCCCAATTCCTAAGTTCGGGCATATTCCTTTAGCAAGTTGTTTGGCTAGCAACTTTCCTACCACAGGAGAAAACAGTTACTGCAGCCCATTGAAATAACCACATCAGCAATGTTAACGCCTCAGCTACAACGATAGCGCTGAGGTCGAGAGTAAGAAAATGGATCAAAAAACCAAAACACAAAATGCATTCGGAGGTCATTAAATGATGTGAATCAAGTCAGTTAAGAAACATTCAAGCACCATACCTGTACAATGGGTGATAGCAAAAGGGATTTAATGTAATTTACATTTTCTCGTAAAATACCGCCGTTTGAAAGTGAAGGGCCGTGTAGGAGCACCGATTGAATGGCAGAGTGGGCAGCTGAAAGCAACGGAAACCAACTAAAATTCAAGTCACATAAACATCAAGTGATGAAAAAAATTGTGCAGTTGGTTTGAGTTGTGAAGTGCACTCCGAGACACATGTCAATCTATTTGAAGTAGTGCGTCCAATCACATGGGTGCTACCAACCTAATAATGGAGAGACACTTGCGTCAATTGACAAAAGGAGCCCAAATTGAGGGTTTCACACAACCACGGACGGTAGCACTGAGGTGCCTCACAAAATTGTCACAACCACCAGCCAAAAAGGCCGATTGGTCGACTTTGGACCGTCTGTTGGCAGCGTCAAAAACAACATGCTAGGAGTGGCGCTGAAGCCGGTCTCTTATGCAAGTGCTGTTAACCATTACACGGATGTGGCAATGCCAATCGCTTACCAAGATGAGATGAGGAGAGAGGAGTAAACATGGGGCGGCATGACTTAATTGGTACGTTGGAATTGTTGGTTGTGATCGCTGATGGAGCCGGTGGCAGGCGGTGGCGAACGAACCGAGGCGCAGCCGCTCGAACCAGTCGAGACCGGCGGGGACGCCAGGGTAGGCTGGAGGGGACGCGGGGCGCGACCGCCGCCCGCCGTCGCGCCTGGCGAATCTACGAACCCAAACCAGCAACTTCACTTGGTTCTGTGCTTACCAATAATTCTGACTAAGCGCCGTCTTACATCTGGTTGCGCGCATTGTATTGCTGCGCGAAATCCAGAGTCGAACATTTTTATAACCCAGGCGAGCCTGGAGAGTGTAACCATGACGGGACAGTAAATGTGATAGCTAAATGACTGAATAAAAGTTGAATTTAAAAAAAAAGTACAGCGAATCAAATGACCATAATTTAAACCACAGACCGGAGGCCAACCATGCAGACATCCAAACGGAGAAATGGGGTTAAAATCTGCTACAGAATAGCTACTTGGAATTTTTAGTAATCAGAATCGATTTAACACTTTCAAGTGCAACAATGGTAACGATGGTTTAATTAAGGTACCTGCTATCTCAAAAACGATAATTAATAATGGAGCAAGACAGTGAAAAACGTCATAATCTGAATAAAGCGCATGCAAGAAACTTTTTAAAAGGCCATAGAACAACCACAAAATCAGCCACGCCAGTGGCCAAGCGGCGTGTCATGCAGTCAAAGAAAGCTAGCATTCACCTCAATACAATGCGACATAGCTAGCTATAAAATATCTACACAGTATACGTTCATGTGCTTGGACAAAATCGTGCTAGTAAAATGGCGATGATTGAGCGAAAGTAAATCAAGCGCTTGAACTAACGATACACAATTTCCACGAATGATTTGGCATCCAAATAAGATGAACACTTTGTCAACAAACTGGTAATCACGCGGAAACAGGCCCGCTTATGATTTTAAATTCCGGCCTAAATAACTTACAACCCAACCAGGAAGTTATCTATCGGTAACACACGGGAAAACGCTATTTATTTAGTAAGTTCCATGGAAGGTTTCGATAAAACCACATTTTTAAATATCATCTCCAAATTCATCACGTAGTCTTTGCCAAGCAGCCTAAGTTTTCCTGTTTCGGAAATTCACTAGTGTTATGTAAAAAATGCATTAATCATTGACGTGTGCATTTTAATTGTATCCAGTCTGATGGTTTTTAATGAATTTTAAACGACATTTTCTATAACTCCCTGCAACGCGAGTTTTAAGCTGATCATTGGGATCAACGTGCAGCGGTTAGATCAAAGCCGACACAGCGAAAGGTTATGTAAATACGCAGTGCATCGAAAACGAGTATGGCGAAAAACCCTCCTCCACTGTACCTCGGAGGACAGCTTGATCGGCGGCAGCTGCACCCTCGTCAATCGCAGCAGCACAGTCGGGGAGGTTGGTGGTTGACGTGGCGGAGGTATGCGCGAGAGGCGGGTCCTTGGCGGGGTGTCGATCAGGCACCGGCGGGGTCAACGGTGCGGCGACGTCGGAGGGACCGTGGCATGCGCCGCCCTTCGATCGCCGCCGACGCCGCAGGTGAAGGCATGAGCAAGGCGTGACGTTAACTACACGCGTTCGATAGGCATGCAAAATAGTACAAAAGGCATGCGTTTATAGATAAGAGGAACGGTTTGTGTAACAACAAGATTATAAGGGAAGAACAACTCGATTTCGAGAGGGCACTACAAAATTTGAGGGAATTCGATAGAGACAATGCGAAATCCCCAAAATTGCAATATCCAATTCGATTTGCGTGGTTTGCTAAGACTTTAATGTAAGATGAACCGGTACACAAGGAGAGGAGCACGACTTATGCAATAACAGCATGGCATTGATTGTTCGAATTTGATTTAAAGGCATCAGAAGAATGAAGCATTGTGGACTATTTTAAAGATATTTTTTAAAAAACTAACTGTTGGGTAATGTTACGTGAAACCGCTGCAAGCACACCGACTTGGGAGATCCTCTTTCCGAAACAATGAGCATTTAAGCAAAGGTGAAATAAAATGTAGGCACTCTAAAGTTATACGACAAATTCCCCGTTAAGGAAATATTGAGCAACTTCTAGGATAGGGTGTTGTTCTTACGCTTCACATCTGAAGACAAACATTTCGATAATCGGAGTTGATTTACTGCAGCGAACTGCTGTAGACACCAAAATTACAACCAATGACAAGGCGGTGCACTTAAACCCTGACAACCGACAGTTTTTAAGTACAAACACTGGGGGAAAAGAGACCAGGTGCCGTGAAATCTGGCCAGCAGAAACCAATAGTGAGGTTGTGTACTTGAAGGTTTTTTGTGTGAAGTGATAGCGGCCTCAGTTACGTGTGCTTTTGATTAGAGGAAATGTTTAAGCATGTTTGGCTACCTTGGTAGTGAGACTTAATTCACCTAATTTTCTCAATCGCCAACAATGAACGTGACAATTATTCTAAGAACATTTTTTTGCAGCAGACATTGGTAAACTAGAGTGTAACTGCTTCAATAAAGTCGATTTTTTTTAAAAAGAAGACGGTGCTAATTTGAGAGGACAGGCTAGTATGCGAGATAATTCTTGACATAAACCTGAGGCAACAAGTTAGCCTTTCAAAACACTGGTGGGTATCCAAAACGTCAGTAGTTTTAGTTTCGTCAGTGTGAAAAATGTACAAGTGGGGTAAAGAAGTGGCAGGATTAAATGAAGGAGCAAACAGTGGTGGAATTTGCAGTAGTGAGAAACAGCACATTTACGGCAAGACTGGACGTAGACCTGAACATACGAGCAAGACCTTAGTGCTTTAAGTAGACCGCCGTTTCTGGGCTCAAAAATGCAACCAGCTTGGCTTTCAATTTGACACACTTCGTTGAAAACTGGAGCAGCCGTCAGGCACCACCATAAACCTCTCGAAAGTAAAGATGATCAATCAAGCTAGACTAACCAGAATGGACGGACGCAGCGACGCCGGGCTGCGGGGGCGCATGGGACGCGGCGGAGGGCGGCACACAAGTGAGTGGGACCGCCGCGTCGGACGATTGGGGTGGCGCCTGTCGCGTTGCTGACGAGCACGACGAGGATGAGGAGGACGTTGACGTGGAGCTGCTAGAGGAGGCTGACGAAGTTCCGTCGTCGTCCCCCACGTTGGGACGCTGCTGGAGTTGAGTCGGTACAATGCTACAACCAACGTGCGCAAAATATGCCATTGTTATGGGGTAGGCAAAAAATGACACCTGACACCAAATAAACGCGGTTTCAAAAATACGGTCTGTTAAGTGAACAATTAGCTTATTTAGAATAATAAACGCACACAACACAGAGAGATATAAAGCGGCAGAGGAGTAAAGATAGACCACACGATTTGTAACGCTTGTGAGACAAGATTAACTTCGAAATAGGCTTCTTAGTGTAGAATTTTTTCACAAACTAGCGAGTGAAAGTGACACATTGTCCTTGTTAAAGGGTTTCAAATGCATACGTTAACTAGTGCAAAACACAGGTGAAAGAATCATGCTTGATAACACCAGTGAACAGGGAGGTTTTTTAATCGGTAGACAACCTTGATTAACTACAAAGGCAGCAAGTATGTCATCCCAACCGTTACCGTCAACTTTAAATTTGCAAAATATTGCCCTCAACGTGTAGACGCAAGTGGAGGAGGCGGGTCTGTTCAACACTGCGCTTTTGGAGATTGCAAACTTGCAAAATGAGGGAGTCCGAATCACCAGGCTTGGAGACTTCAGTCAGACAAGGCTGGCGAAGATGACCATGCCTCCACTGAAGCTGACTACCTCGGTGACTCATATGTTAGGCTCGGTCGGTAAAAAAACATTAAATAACTATGAGAAATTAGGGATTAAGAAGTTGCCGAACAAGTGCATAGCCGCAAGACCTGTATTACATTTTTTTAGGTTGAATCAGTCAGTGAGAATATAACTTAAAAAAGCCGTTTTAGTTTCTGGTTTGAGAACATGATGGAACCAATGAAAGCAGGAATGTAGTGTAGAACTTCTAGTCTTTAATTTGCTGCTACAATTTTGAAACGGGTTAATAGGCAGTGGCGTGAGTAGCATTCAAAAATTGGTGGAAAATTGATACCAATGCAAATTACTAAGTTTGAGTAATTGTAGATGACGCGTTGTGACGAAGTAAAGCAACGACTGCATGTTTCTAGTAAGAGATCTAGCAGGAAAAGAATAATGGAAGAGAAGAGGATCGTCATTGGTATACCTCTTTAAATCGACTGATTTGTGCTCAGAATTGAGACCCGGTGCGTTCGGGGGAGACATGGCGAGGTGATGCTGTTGTGGGTGAATTGGCGGGGTGGGGAAGAGCGGTTGGCCACCACCGGACGGCCAGAATCCCGCACCGGGGGCTGCTGACTGCGGTGGGATGGCGGCGGTGGCTGGGCTGGCGGAGTTTGCTGCGCTGAACGAGGGCAGAGAACAGGCAAAGGAGCCCCCGGGCACTGATGAAACGGAGGAGGTGCCGTTATTTTGAGGCATCAATCCGATGACTCCTTGAGGGTGTCGGCTAACACCGATCTCTGACACCGAATCCATCTCCTCAAGGTTCATAAGAACTACAAAAAAAGACAGACGTGCAGTGGTTCAAGTGTGAAGCTTGAAAAATTCTGTCTTAAAAGAGGACGATATAATTCGTAATCAGATTTAGACCGTCATTTTGGAATCCCAGAGAGAGGACTAATAAGGAAAATCCTGAACGATAAGGCGTGCTGGAACAGTATCAGATCTAACCCGAAGGCATGCATGAGGTTGCAGATTACGTCCCCCAAGAAGCCATGAGCAGTAATTAACTAAACCATATTACTACTGTTTACTCTTGTCCAAGTTTTGATACATTCACTACAAGGGCGTTTTCGACAAACAAACACACACACCTTGGTAATTACACTGCACAGGATTAAACTGGAGGATGCTGGAAAACGTAATTAGGATGCCTTTCTATAAACGAACTAGACTTGGCTTTCGAGGACAGTGCAATGACCATGGGAAATTTGAAAAGCTCGTAATTAGAAGGTCAATTTATCAAGGTTTTCGGTAACCTCCTCACCCAGCTAATGCCTATTACCGGTTTTAAATGGGGGCAGGCATTGCTTGGCACTTCGAGGTCTGCCACTCAGATTCTGTCAATCACTTGAGTAGTTAGGACGTAGGGTAAAATTACCTCATTTGCGTCAAGCATGCTCTCTTCTGACTGCCATGACAATCAACTAGATAAACTCCTTGAACTTTAGACAATTATCAACCAGATAAATTCCCTCAATTAAGTAAAAATCAGAACCAAATAGGGTTTAACCATGTTAGTGCTGGCGTTATGTACATTTCAAGTATTTTTTTACACCGGGCGAATCACAGAGCGAATGGCAGGATGACTGCGGCAGCCAAAACGTGTTTGCACGTGATCAGCCTGAGAAAAAAACTGACAATTTTATCCACGAATGACTACACGCGGTAACTTATGCTGCAGTAAACAAAAATCAGCAGCTTCAACACAAAGATTCACACAAATGCTTGTAAGCTGGTAAATACAGACACAATAATGTAAGGAAACGGAATTTCAACTTACCAGTGCCGGCGAGGTCGCTGAAAACGTAATAGCACTGCTCAGAGAAGGTTGTTTTGTTCACGGTGTGCTGAATGAAGCCACACTTGAGCATGTTCGAGGCGTATTTCCTGACCTCGCGACGATCAGCGAACCCATCCACGTTGGCGAACAGCCAGTCTACCAAGTCCGAACCTGTAATGCGAAAGTAAAGCCTTTGTGGGGAGTTCGCAAACTCATCAGCCGGCATTGGCACAAGGTAATGAATGCAAATGTGCTATAATAGGCGTAAGAGTAGAGTGACGAACTCCAGGCTAAGCTGAGCCGTGTTACCACCTCTTTTTTCCGTAAACATAGAAGACGAACTCACCTATGACGGCATTTGCGATTGTAATTTTGAGCCAAGTGCGATCGTGGATTTCGAGACCCGACTCTGGTTGCAGCATTGCCCGCACGACGATGGCCATTTCAGTGGCCACATTGAGTTGCTGGGGCTGCTCAACTGCGGCTGCCGCTGTCGTGAGATCTGACGGCTGCGAGGACGCCTGCGGATGATGGCCGAGGAAGGAGGGTGCGACGGCACCACCACCACCTCCGCCGCCACCACCACCCGAGGAGTCGGGCCCCGATTTTGCTGTCACTGAGGAGCTCGAGGCATTGCTCTTGGGAAGGGGGAGCAGTACCCCACTGCCAGCACCACCGCCGGGCACGGGAAAATCTGACAACAAGAGAGGTTTGAGTTAGTACCGAACAGGGCAGCGTTCATCACGCGATTGACACTGACAAAGACCTCAAAACGACTGAAACACAGGTCAGGGAAACCTAGCTGTAGTGGATTGGGCCGTTCTTCTGGAATGGCAACATATGGCCTCATTGTTGGGAAAGTTAGTATAGGGTCCCAGAATGACTTAACAGCATGCGTTTACTTGAGAAAGCCATCGAACAAAAATCTGTGCTCTTTGACTTTGCACCACCTTCAGGCGCCCATGGACTAATTTCCGTTTTTGTTATTTCTTTGCAAGACAAAATTCAGCATTTCAGACTAGCCGATTAGTTAAATTGGACGACACCATACACATCCGTTGTGTTTCACTTCGGGGTAAGAATATTCTTAAAAAGGCACGTTTGTTTAAATAGTCACACATCTCAACGAGGCAAGTTACACATTGACATATGTTCACCGGCAACGGTACCAGGCCAATTGTAGGGTACCAACAATGATTTCCCATAAATAGGGAACACACCCACTATTTAATTGCCACATTTCTGATTTGTCATGACATGGGTTCCCTTGGTAATAGGGAAATGGTGGTTGCGTTGGTGAAAAGGAACCAGGAGACGATATGAGGATGGAACACTTAGCACAGATTTGCCACTAAAAGGTTCGTGAAAAGCTGGTTTCTCAGGACAAATACGGCTTGGCAACATGACGGTGTATTCTAGGCATTCAGCGTCTAAAAACAAAGTACGGATTAAAGGGATGAAGGTACACAAAATGCGCCGATAGACGACGATACCATCTAGGATACTGCGAAGTAATTTGAAGAAGCGACTACTAATAAACACGGTGCGTAGTAATTTACAATGTTGAGATAACTGAATCAAACGGCGACGACTTGAGTGCGTTTTGTTAGCCCAGGCAGCAAATAGATGAACATGTTGTCGTCAAACAAAATGACACCTTCAAGCAATCTGTGACAAGAGCTTCTGAACACAATTTGTGCACATCTAGAAAAGTGTTTTCGCGATGTAAATGCAACTGGGAGGAATACATGGGCATAATCATGGGAGAAAATTCAGGACATAAAAATCCAACGCAACAAACAAAAAACCTAGCTGCCGCAGGCTGTGAAACAGAAAATGTCTAAAACTTTCTGCCAGCGTGCACTAACCACTAGGATATCCTGCCTTAGTTACCACACACATTAATATTTTGCTGTTTCCAAAGAAGGAAAAATGAAGGTCAGGAAATGATGAACATCAGGTTCTTTTGAGCTAGTTTACATTCAGGAGCGTTATTCCAACGAGAGTCAGAGAAGGCGCAAAAACAACAAATGAGAGTCCAGAGCTGTGTATTTTCTGTGTGCATAGAAAAGGGATTAACCTTGCTTTAGCTTATTGCTACGATAGTTTTTGATGCACCTACAGAGGACACGCGCTAGAAATATAGTGTAAATCCTACATACTTATAAAGACGTATTTAGAATCGAAGCAATATTTATGAGAACGGCAGATCTAGATCCTTTACATCAAGCAATTTTGATGAAATAAAACAGACCACGAGGCACAACAACTTCCCCTGAGAGACGAACAAAAGTCTGCGAAGCCCAGAACTGCCACGTTTACACTAGGATTCTGATTCATACAGATAATTCAACGAAATATTGGACAAAGGTTAACTCAGATACCGCACAACTAAGATTTAATGATACTATGGCACAACAAGGTATTGATTTGCGATGTTTTAGCAGTTCCGGTAAATTGGTGTGGCTCGGAATTTATTTTCTGCAGAACAGCCAGGCCTGTCTTTTTAAGCACTCCCCAACGCATCATTCATGTCATAGCAAAAGGAACAGCAAGATTCTCGTAGTTAAAATGTCAGGCTGTGTGTTAAAGGGGGCTAAATGCGAAAATAGCAACGCAGTGGGTGAACAATGTTCAAACTTCCGCTAACAGAACGCAAAGCGCCAATCCAGTGGCAATGATTCAAGGAAGGTGGGAGGAAGACATGACTTTGTTGGATACGGTCCTTTGCTGGGGAATTTTCCAAAAATACTCAAGAACCTTTAATCATGGCCCACAGAAGTCGGAATTCAAAACGTCCTGACAAATAAACCCATAAAAAAGCCCTCGAGCTAAACAAAATGCTGCTTGGACGTGTCTCAAGTACTGACTGAAAATCGTATCCAGTAAAACTTCAATAAAAACGAACACATTTTGAATCTTCTAGATCCGTGAATGTGAGTGATAATGACAATGGGAACTATTTCCAAAATCACGTCGCAACTAAGTGACTCTCCTTTGGAAATAAGTAACATTTAGCAGTGAAATAAGAGAGGCTACACCAAGTCAAATTACACGCCTGGTAAAATTTGAACACGATTTTGTACCTTTAGGCCGTATAACGAGGTGGCAGTCATTTTGACAAGCCCAATGACCGTACAACACCACATCGTCGGACTTATAAGCGCGAAAAAAAGTAGCATGTGGAAGCAGGATCACTTTTAGACACAATATGCCATCAGAAAATAAAAGAGAACAGAAAAATTGTCTGTGTCTCAGTGTGTTTGAAAGGCACAAAACAGAAGAAATATGCAATAACCAAGTGAAGGCAGATTTCATAAGGGCCTTCTTTGCATGAATATTCTGAAACAATCCATAAGAGGAGAAACTAGGTTAGAAAAGAGCAGACTTACTGCTGCAAAAGGCAGAATTGGTATCAGAGAGCGGTCCAACGGGCTCGGGGTGAAGGCCACCGGAGGAGGCGACTGCGCCCGCCGCCGTCATGGCGTTGGTGTGGAGAACCCATGCCCGCGGGTCGATCGGACGCACCGGCTCCTGGCGGGAGAGGACGAAACAGTTGCTCTGGGGGTTCGGGTCCCAGCACTTGGCCACCACCAGGGTGATCGGGCTGGAGTGGGATGGAGGACACAAGGCAAAGGGTGAAGTCAATAAAATCTCCAAACTATAGAAGAATCCACGTGCTAGTCTACGTTAGAAAGCCCTTAAATCTCTCTTACTGAACAATAGCTACCTGAAAGCTCCATGTAAGTCTTCATGTCAATCGATGCCAAATCGTCCCGAAGACGAAGTTGTACAATGGTAAGTTATAGAAGCTCTTGAGGTCTACATATCTAAGCAAACCCAATTTTACGATTAGGGATTAAAAGTCATAAGAAGCCTTTGGAATAACCTAGACAAATCACCAATCACAACTGACGATGCCTGAGATGGCTGCGCCAACCAAAGCGCAGTCTTCGCACCAGCTTGGCGCTGGCAGATTTTTTTAGGTATCAGACGGATCCGGGCAAATGTCATTATCGCCTCGCTGAAGGAAGTAAATGTAGTGCTGTACACTTCAGAATCAGAAAAAATGGCCCCATAATGTCCAAAATAAATCACATAAACGTTCGAGAGTGAATAGAAAATTAGTTCAACAAACAATATATTAATAAATCACCTAAATTGACGCCTCGTTTGTCATCTGCGAATGTCTGCGATTTGACGGAGTTTTAATTATAACCTTTATGATGATCTGCTGGCTTAATTAAACCAATGATAGAGCTTATTTAACAAGCAAAGAGTATTTTGGCGACTTGTTTGTATACAAGCATACACATGTAAAGCACATTAGATAAATAATTAAATTAAAGTTGTGCCCAGTTGATAGGGATTCACATGCCGCGATATGACCGGCAGATTACGGCTAATTAACTAGCATTTCCAAAACATACATTGTCTACTTACGAAAAATAATAATACCCCCCCCAAAAAATGAAAGCCGAATGAGAGCGGAATAGTAATGTCATACCCAGGCTTTTGAACCTGCTCACGAAGGACGCGAACAGCATCATCATTGCTCATGTCCTCGAACGAAATGGAATTCACTTCGAGAAGCATGTCTCCGGGCTCTATTCGTCCGTCCAAAGCAACCGCTCCACCACGCATTATAGAGCCGACGTAAATGCCACCGTCGCCAGCCCTATTTGACTGGCCCACGATGGAAATCCCCAGGTAGTTGACAGTATCCATTTTCAGCGTAACGGTGACGATATTCAACGACATGGTTGAATCAGTCATGCTGCTGTACGAAGAGGCCTAGGAAAAACAACCCAGATTAGAAACTCAATGGTGAAGTGGCTGCTTGTCTAATTTACCTAGATAATAGGAATCCGACGTAAAAGTACCTGAAACGCATATGCTTAAAATGATTCCCGTGTGGGAATAGGGAGGTTGACGTGCATTTTGCAATGCTAAAATCATTCCGTACGCTATTTCAGAGTACAATAATCATGACCTATTTACTAACTCAAAGCACTGACTGCTGATGTAGATTACAGAAAATTTTAGAAAATAGAAAGCCGGGACTAATTTCCGACCTATTTTGTACGGGAAGGATTATTATGTGAAAAAGTGTAAGCAAAAAACAATGGTTATACATATTGTACAGTGATTATATGACCCAACAGTTAGTGCTACTGATTTTCAAGTAGCAAAACCTACAACATTTGCAGTCCAGCACTTTTAAGAGTGATTTAGGGGTTGGGTCTGATTAAAAACGCTGTTTTACACGACTTGAAATAGACTATATTAAGGAAACCAAATCAGTCCAGTCATCACATGAAGCGGTGATCGGTATTTCCTGATCACCGTCAGTAATGTTCATGGTTTGGCACTACGCGACAAAAACGGCAATGACTTATGGTTGTTAGAAATGGAACAATACGTCCAAGGAACCAATTTTAGGGGATTTAGTGGGGGATAATAACATGTAGATTTAACCATTGCACGACTTGACTAACTGACTAATTTTCAAAAGTGTTAGGAGGCGAAATCGACGAAATGGTCTATTTTGAGCTACTCCAACAAGCAAGCATCCCGTTTTAGCCCTTCAGCCGGTCAGAATGCATCCGGCCCCGGAGTCTGCAGGCGTTAAAATCACACATGAATCACAGGAGAACCATGAGTAAGACGACTGCATTTGAACACTAATGCGCGTGTGTGGATGATTAGTGAACAATAAATGATAAATGTGCACGGAACATGGAAAAATGGAGGTGGTGTGTGTGTGTGTGCGTGCGTGCAAGCCCATGCGCGTGTTAAGGCTGAACAATCGCACACTCGGATGTGGGTGATTCTGGTTCGGCAAGCATGTACACGCACGCCCCACAGTCAATCAATAATTTTCGCACGATACGTAAATATCCTCGGACTTACGAAACACTCGTAAAAAAGACATGCGTGTCTGGCGAAGAGGGTGACCCGAAGTCAGGCTAATTAATACCACATGTGTCTCCGCAGCCAAGCATTTTGGCGCAAAATTGCATGATTTTCGGGACAGCCGAGACAACGCTAGAATCAACCGCCACTGAAGTGGGGCCGAGAACTCTCCGTCGGGGTGCAGCGGCTGACAGCTACTCACCAGCAAATGCTTAGTGCACGAGGCAGATGGCACGCATCTTGTGCCCCCTTGACTTAGTTCCCAAATTTGTTAGGGGGAGAAATGCGACACCAACGCTTTACACTAGAAAAAGTCAGCTGTGGGTTTTGGAAATGAGCAGCTTGGCGGATGTCGCAGCAAAGTGCCAGGCATTCAGGGATCTGACTTAATAGGTTAGAATTGGCAAATCGCTGTGGTTGAAAACTGTGGTTTCAAATGAAAATGCACGCACATCTTCGCTAATCCGGCTGATTGGCAGGGAGCGGCGACGACGCCGTTGCCGGTGCCCTCCGTAACGCATCGAGGAGACTGTCGTGCCTGTGGTGGTCGAAAATCTACAATAATTCATCGTGCAAAAGGAAGTCAGCAAAAACAATACACCGCTTGAGGCATTCTTTTGTTTTTTGGACAAACGAATTGCCACCATCAACTGTGTATCCTAACACACACCTCAAACCTTGCAAACACACGAGTAGGGCAAAATATGTCAGAATGACCATCACGAGTCCAGCTTCCTTTGCCCTTTGTGAACAGTCCCACTCAAAAGGTACATCAACAACACAAGTTTTGGGAAATCGAATGCTTCGTAAACAGAAATAATAGCTCATTTATCTAACATCGACAGTGTCTACGACAAAAGAGTGTCATTATCTACTTTAATGCTAGCATTTTAATTTAGTTATGGAAATAAAATGGCATAAGCGGGATATAATATCGCAAAAAGCCACATCAGTTGTGTGCTCACCTACTAGACTCGTCTTCAGAATCAAAAAAACTGGTCGACTCGAGGTCAGAACTCAACATCGAGGAGGACGTGTCGTAAATGCTTTGGTTTACTCTGCCGAGTTTTCCCAGTCTCGATCCTACAACCAAAATAAGATAAACCGTTCCAATAATTACAATGGCCTAAGGCAACCAAAACGAACGTTATCGCTGCGGTATTTCACTAAACCATATTTTTTTAAAGTCTCGCCAAAAACAAAACATGGGTGCTTTACGACACAAAGCACACGGGAGATCAGCCTATAGGAAAACACCAGACATGACTAAGCGTCCTCCCACTATTCACATGCACATTCTAAAACATTGCTTGCGACAAGGGCACCTAACAACGTTAGGTCCATTTTGAAAAAAATAGTGCAAGGTTTCAGCATAGCATAATGCATCAAAAAGGTAACGGCATTTGGCCGAAATAGGATGCTTGGTGGCCTGCTTGCGATTAAGACCTTTACTGTGGTTAGATTCAATTTCAGGATTAGTTAGAATGTCAAAAGCATGCCCGTGGAAAACACAAGATTTGAATAAGTTGATAAGGACCGGAGAACATCAGAGTAGGATTTGCAGGGCTGACGTCAAATGTCATGAAAATTGAGTCACTGGAATGGGAAACTGAAGCAATAGCAACCGAGGTACAAGCGACGATAACTAGCAAGTAATTTAATTAACTAAAAAAAGGATATAACGCCGACCATGCACTAACAATGAACAAAACTTGCCATGTTTGTAATTTTGGAAGTTTCTAAGTGGGGGAAGATGATCGCCACTACAAGCAGACTCGCTGTCGCCACAGGTTTCGCATTCATCGCGGTTATCTCTTTTATTCGAAGCCGCGTTTCTGCTTGCCTCGTCGTGGGGGTCATTTGACTTGGGACTGAAAAAAGGAGATGAGCTTTGCAGGGGACTTTAGAAAAACTTTTTTTGAATTCGATGAAGATTAACCGGCTAAAGGTTAGATTTATTGTACACCTTCGAAAGTAGAAATTACGAACGGCGGATTTCAAATAACATTCGGTGTTATTTAAAAATATAAACATGAATAGAAGTTCTCTTCTTTCGGTGTGTTGAAGACTGGTAAAACATTCGTATACAAGAATTACTTGCAGCTCAGTTTGGACACACGCAAATAGGGGAAGATCAAACGTTTTACAGCACTAAAATTAATTAGTTTACTTTTAAAATACAAGGTGTGGAGTCTTTTCAAACCATTTGCTGTGAAAAAAAACACGAAAAACGGACTTATAACGGTGCATTGTGCAACAATTTATTTGAACAGATGATAAAATTATATACTTGCGCAGGACTTACACCAAGGCATCACCCGTAGATGAATGATTATCGGATTTTGCACTTCCATCGGCTGTAACAAGCTGAAAAACAATGTTAAGGAGTTAGATCGGAACTGTTCTTTACATAAAGTTTTAGAGCACAAAAATATTATTTTAATGTCTGTGGTCAGTGCCTAGAAGCGTAACAACGTAGTAATGAGCTACGTGAGACAGAAAATGTAGGTTAAGTTAGCAATGCCGTGCAATCATTTAGCACCAAATACACTTAAATTTATCACCGGTCTTGGTGGGAAGAAAATAACAGCCACATTACTAATTAGTCATTTTCAAAGCCCTGTTTAAGGCCACATCAAATTAAGTTAATTTCATTAAAGCAAATTATTATGCAGACTAATGAGGTTCCGGAGAAATAAAACCGAAAATGTACTTAATTTGACAGGTGCGTTCAAATACCAAATACCAGTTGTTTTTCGATTACGACTCAATTCACACATGAACCAGCTGATTTCTTAGAAAGGCGTAGGTAGGTATACAGGATCGTATGCTTAATACAAACAAACCTTAATTATTTAGTCATTTCTAGTAAACTGATACCTCCACAACTTTTGTGTCAGTGCAACTAGATTTTACTAGATACATTAAATCATTCGCTAAAACTAACTCCCGTTGCATCGGTCAAGGGACCGTATACATACTGCCAGTCAAGTAAAGGACATTTTAACCTCTGGAAGCAAATATACAACCTGGCTAAGAAAACGAGAATGATACGTAAAATGGCAGAATAAAAGAAGACGTCTGATAATAAACTAGCAAGCAAGCATTTTTAACCATCGACAGACAGTGTTTAATAAAACGTACGATCACCTAGAATTCAAAAGCTGTTGAAACACTCAACATCTCGGAAGCCGGATTATGCTTAACAAAAATAACAACTTACAAGACACACATTCCAAGGTATTACAAAATTTAAGGAATACGGACTAAAAATTATGCTAGGAAAAGGTGAAAGTCAGCAACAAAAATATCAAAAGTTAAAAAAAATCGAACGCACCCAAGCTATTACTCTTCCGTTGAAGCAAGGCAGACAAGCTGAATCATCACTGATTTCTTCCTTAACGACACTAACTAAATGATACTGAGTGTTTTTTTCTCACCCGAAATCAGCATCAACAGATTTGAAGAAAAATTTATAATTTGGTCGATTCAGTGCCGCTTTAAAATCACCTAGAGTAACCTTATCTGCATTCACCGCAAGTTTAACTAAATAAGGAGTATTTTCTTCATCTATGTGGTATATTATTTTTGTGTCCTCCATGTCATGGGCAAAGGCATCAGTAAGATCTACATACTACAGAACACGCACGTTCAAATAAACCCGCTACCCGATGAAGGTTTTTTTTACCTCATTTAAAAGATCTCTATTTATTTCCAAAGTTAAATCATGACGTGCATTTCCTATTCACGACAAATTGATAGCATAATTTAATATATTTTCGGTAATTTTCGTCCTGTTAACCGACTAAATGTGGTCTCTGATAGATTTCGATTTGCTTTGAAACGAGATGCCATTCAGAGTGAACATCTTCGCATTTTGTGCATAGGCGGATGGATATTGATCTATTTGCCGAAAATCTCATCATTTTGGCTAGAATGCTATACAAACATGAATTTAGTCAAGCAGTTTAATTATGTACTGTCATGTATCGTTTCAAGACAATGAATGAATAACGAGAGGCATGAAATTCGGCAGCAGTTCTTAACCAAAAAAACATCGCATGCACATAACTACAGATGTACGCTTTTTAAAATATGCATGCACAACCCTCCTTTGTTTTGATCTATGCATTCTTTGGCATAAGCAATACACCATGTATTTCGATTAGCTTTATTAGAATGAAGCAGATTCTGTGTTCCTAACGGATTCACATCATTTCGTCACTTGGTTACTGAATAACTTTGGTTCAATTTAGCTCAAATTTAATTAAAGATATAGTCAAGTTCGTTTTTAATGCGGAAGGATAAGTGAGCATTTGTTTCAACATTTCATTGACATGAGCAAGCAGGTTCCGGATTGATAAAATTTTGAACAAAAATGCTGGGCAAATTTTGCAAAAGATTTTGTCATAGTCCAAGGGAATCTGTGCGAAGATCAAGTTTGAAAATCCGAATCTCTAAGTCAGCTCTATGGCGCGGTAATGAAAATGTTTGTGACAAACCCTTTAAACTCGTGCCTATGAAGCCTATCAAGCCAGATGAAAAGAAAAGGAGTGAAGTGTTTTGTAAAGTTATCTTAAAATAAACTTGAATATGGAGACTTTGAAGAGGGTCTTGTTCTCAATGACGAGGCAACATTATTTACAAATATTAAAGTGGATAGGCAAACTTTACATTTTGGTAGACAGAAACTCACTTGGCAAAATTAAACGAAGAAGGGACTCACTAAATGTGAATATTGTCTGCATAGTCTGAAAGATCTGAGTGCAAGGACCTATTTAACGTCGAGGGAAGTGTTAAGATCGACGACTGTCTGCAAGTGCCCTGAAAATGAATAACTGACGAAATTAGGGTAAAGTATCGTGCTCATCTCACGTACAATAAAATGGGGCTTCATCTCATTGAAACATAGCAATGCGGACATATCTTAAAGACATCCTCTCAGTAGGATAAATCAGACTTAGTGTTAATAGAGACAGTGTTCTATTGATGTTAATCTTACCTGATATGATGCTGTGCTATTTCTGTCTGTGAGGTTGCGACAAAAATATTATTTGTGTCTTACAACTCCCCATTTTTAAGGAAGAAATCAGGGGATCGATGGGGCTCGAAAAACTGCTGCACACAAATGTGAAATGAACTCCACTACTGACATAAATTATTCAGCGTCACAAGAGGAGTGCTTATTTAACATTTGTGATTACTTAAAACCATTTTAGTCGCATTTTTAAAAGTCCACTTAACATTTATTAGGAGGCAACATGATGAATTTAAAATTAAGCCTATGGATTTTCAGTTCGTTTTATTAATTATTAATCCACACAAGGACATTTTAAAAGATGCCATTTTAGTGGAGCCACAATTTTCTCAACTCCCTACCTATACTTATTTACAAAGTAATAACATAGGCACTATTTGGCTACTATTTAAGGCTGCGGTCTTTATCCTATGCCTACCAATGCTCTTAGTACCTGTCACATTCTTTCTAGTGGAAAACGCATTTACTAAATGCGACTACCTAATGTCTGAGATCACCTTAATGTTATTGTGCCTTGGATACTCATCTATGGCTACTAAAAATCCCTTTCACCAGCAGTAGTTAGCGTCAGCAATGTGGCGGAAACAGAACATTGGCACCCCGGAAACCTAGAAACGCTGGGTAAAATGAGGTTTAACGCCACTTGCCTGACGTATTATTAGGCTTTTTTTAATTTTCCTTGATTTAAACTCGATAGAAAAAATGAACTATGCTTCCCTCATTTAACGAGTTTCAAATTTGTAAATTTTTACTTGTCAAATCGGCTTATGTAGAACAGGAACAAGGCAGAATTAGTAGGGAACTGTTAGCAGATTTATCACGAGATGATTGCCGCCTTTGACACCTATTTAACTTGCCATTGTGTCTACGCGCGTCCACTCCTATTTACCGTGGAACATTCTTGGCCATATAATACATTAATCTCCTAATATTTTACAAGCTATTAAATTCATTATCAGAAAAACCTGGCATTAAAGAGAACGCAGAATATTAGTTTTTTCTTTTATTTTAGACCCAATTTTTTGCGGTTTAAAATGTTTTGTAATGAGCAAAACAGAAAAATATTTGGATTGACGAGGTTGGCGATTAACGGCTTCCCATTTTGGTTACCTTTCTTCCTGTAGTATCTGCTGAACGACACGTGGTACTGCGTTGTCATGGTGAGAGATGCCGTCTTTTTAATTTCACAAGTATGAACGTTTTGTTTGATTTGAAGCTTTGAAATTACACCAGGAGATATCTAATACTTTCAATTGATGCGGTAATTCAGCAGTCGAAATAGATTGCCCTCTTTCATTTCCGTGATTTCGGTTTCTTTTTCTTATTCTTTTGTAAAGCACAAACCTTATTTTCATTTCTGGTTTTAATTTGATCAAAGAGGGGTTCGTTTTGTTGACGATCGAGGAATGAGTAGTTGTTTAGGAAACACGGTCCAATTTGTTCCACTGTCAAAACGTGTGGAACCTATCACTTACACCGAAATTTTGCCCAGAGCGTATGTTATCGTTTAAATTTTTGTCAATATCTTAAAATAGGTTGGAACAAGACGACAGCCCAAATAAACGCCCAGGTTTTTTATTTTTAAATTCAGTTCCAACAGAAGCAAGTTTTTTAAACTTACATACAAAATGATATTTTGGCTTAGAACTCTGCCTAAGAATTAATATAGAGAAACGTTTTTAAGGTCATGGTGCATCACCCCACAGTAAGCT